CTCCAAAAGCGGGGGTTCCAGTAGAACAAAACAAACGATGTCGAGCCAAGAGCACTTTCATTCCTATATAATATAAAAATGGTGGATGTAAGAATCCACAGCGGATCATGTCCTTCAAGTCGCACGTTGCTTTCTACCACATCGTTTTAAACGAAGTTTTACCATAACATTCCTTCAGTTTGGAACCAGTATGTAATTGATTCAATTATGGAATCATGAATAATCATCGGTTCGGCACGAATAAACAAGTTATTTTTAATCTCTATCTTCAAGTAACATGATAGGATAAATTCAACAATTTAACACTTCTTCGAGTACCAAGAACCCATAAGAAATCATTAAAAAGATTTAATTGATTGAATAATTTCCTACCCGATATCATTATTTGCATTTTGCATAAGGTTTTACAGTAAGGACCATTCACTTTTTATCATCATAAGAGAGAGAAAAATCTATATTGGATTAACCCATCAACGATAAAAAAAGATAGATAAAAAAGACTTATGTAAGAAAAGATTTAAGGTTTAGGTTGTTATTTTTTCATAGTGTAAAATCAGTATAACAAGTCACAAACAGATTAAATTTCGTATGCGTGTTATTTGAACTAGATTAAATTTATGAAAAAGATATGATTCAGATTTCATAAAAAAAAAAAAAAAAAAGAAACAAGAATCACATTCTATACCAATATTATACCCTTAAACGGAAGACTGTTCGAAAAGACAATCTTTAATTTTTATATATTTTATTATGATATAGATATATATATTATATTTTATTATATATTAATAATATTATAATATTATTATGGGTCAGGTATGCTCTGGGACGGAAGGATTCGAACCTCCGAATAGCGGGACCAAAACCCGTTGCCTTACCACTTGGCCACGCCCCATTTCTAGTCGACACTAATAAACACTAATATTGGTACTGGTTGTTCGTCAACTCCAGTCTAAATATCTATTATCTATAAAATAAATTACTACAATTTTTATACATGTAGACATAGAATTAAACTGAATTATTGATCATTACATATAATTCAATTAAGATATTGTATGAAAGTATGATTTATTCTATTCTCTTTTGATTTGAGAATTGAAGGATTGTTGATTGGGTGAGTTCAAATCAAAGAAATTTTTTTGGTCTATCTTATTTTCTTTTTATTCATTTTTCTCTTCTATGAATAATAACATATTTATAATAATTAAATAATAAAAAAACTCAATTTATTAATAACTCAATCAAAATAAAATACAATTATCCTCAAGAACAAAATGTTTGTCTAGCTAGAAGTCATGCCAACTTCATCACAATTCTTACTCGACTATGCTCAATTATTTAATAATTAAGAAATTGGTCCCAATTTTGATTTGGGAATGGGAAATTCCAATTCGGGATTCAACTATTGGGGTAGGGTAAATGCTCTTAAATGTTTAGAGCTGCAAGACCCAGTAAAAAATAAATAGTTGTTCATTGGAGTAGATGCAATTTGTTTTCTTTAAGCTGTGTTTTGTGTTAGTAAATTAATTTTGTGCGTGTACAAAACAAAAGATGAAAGGAATTTGTATAAATATCATGTTTAAATTATCTATCTATGCTACTAAGCAATAAAAAATTAGGGAGCTTCGATTTAAAATCAATAAAAAACTCCTTAATGATAGATAGAAAACTAATTTAACATAATATGGATAAGTTCAATGACCAAAAATTAACATCTAATTTTACAAGCACGCACTGAAAAGACATCAAAATTTAAAAAATGCCATTATCTATATTTTATTATTTTGTTTTAGCGCAATCAAAGCCCAATAAACCCCCCGCCCAAACGACTAATCAAGAATAACCTGATTTTATATCAACAACATGCAAATCTTGACATAGTACTTTGTAGGCACTTTCTTGGAACATGACAGCATGCAATAGAAATAGTAATATAAATTATATTTTATTATAAATCAGTAAAGGTTGCTGAAAGCAGCCCATGTAACGATACGATAGTTTTTATTTTAAAAGAAACACCACTTGACGTGATGGATATTATAAAAAAACACCACTTGATAAACTTTTGACTTTAATGCATAGTGGGACAAGTGTATAAATATATTAAAGCCTTAAAAATAATAATGCAATAAATTACTATTTTCACCATTATTAACAATATCATAATGCATGTAGGTGCGTTTACAATATTATAATGCATAAGTTGGTGGGTGACCATTATACCTCTTAGCATTCACCATTTTTAATTCTATATAATCTATACATTAAATATATTAAAACCTTAATAATAATAATGCAGTAAATTACTATTTTCACCATATTGTTAGTGCTTATTAACAATATCATAATGCATGTAGGTGCGTTTTTTCAGAAACAAATGCAACGAGGCCTTCGAAGAATTAAGCAGTGCTTTTCTATGTGCGGAAAGGCTATAATGAGGGCTTAAAGTGAGGAGGTTATTTGAGGAGGTCAAATCTCACCATCAACAAATGTAAAGAAATCATGGGACTTAAATATTTTAAATGTTTTGACGGTCGGATCGATCTCCTCAGCTCCCTTCTATGTGGCGGTGTTGTCGGCCGACATATCCAAGCCCCCTGGTCCTTTTCTATGTGGATTTGAAGCTCAATATCGTGGCCCAGCAAGATTGAAGTCCAGGAAGCAAGTTATTTTGGGTTTCTTCTTCTTATTATTTATTATTGAATTCTTCCGATATAGATCCTTACATTTAAACTTTTACTGAAAATTTAAATTTAAAATAGGTTGTCATATGAGATAAGAGTTGACCTAGTTTTATTAACTAAATTCATTACATGCCATCTATCTTCATATTTTATTTTCAATCATGTCATTAACTACCATAATTATAAGTAATACTTCCTATTAATACCATATACACCCCATATATTTTAGTTGGCATTCCTTTCCCACATCGCCAATCCCTAAAATAAACAAACAAACAAAATCCTTAAATTACATATCCAATAAATAATGTACCTAATATAAATATGTACATAATATAGGCACTTTATTTAAAGAACAAAAAAAGGATCCGTTACTTTGGAATTGAAATTTCTGTAAATGTTTTTATAAATTAAAGAATAATACTAGTTTTACCACATTTTTTATACTACAATTTTATACCACATGATGTGGCAGCTGATGTGTACATACCACATCATGTAAAATACTAGTTTCTGTTTTTCTAATTTTATTTATAAAAATACACTTCATTCATTTAATTGATGTGGCATATGATATGGAAATGCCACATCATGTGGTATAGAAATGTGGGATAATAATACGGTAAGTGTAGCATTACTCTAAATTAAAAGTAAGTTTATTATTTACCAATAAAAAAAGGTTTTTTATTTTGTTTTTTTTTGGGGTCAGAAAATAGGTACGTAATTGAAATTTCTACACAATTGAAAATACCTGTAGGATGTCTATATATGCATAGAGAAGGTTAAACAGACTAATTCGAATTTTTTGCAATAAATAATAATAAACTTATGACGCAGGATTGATATGGCCTATCAATCCTGTAATGTGCAGAGCTTAAATTAAAAGAACACACAGAGAATTATTTTACGTGGTAAAACCCCACCTCTGGGGAAAATCCACAGGACTTCTCAGTCCAACACAAATCCACTATAGAACGATGATTACAAGAAGTACTCACACACTTATCCTAGACACACTCTAGATAATGTTTACCGACTTCTTCGTAACTCAACTTCTGTCACAGGATGATCTTCGACACTCCTTATGTTGAACGCAATACTGGCCACGATTGCTTCAAGCTCACCGGAGAAAAACCGCCACCACGGTCTTGGTGCCCTCAACCGTATGAGTCACCGACATGCATATGAATGCAATATGAATGATTAAAGTGTTTGATAAATCACCAAGTAAACATTGAACACTTGATGATTTATCTCAAATATACGCACAGCAGCTTTTCTTAGAATTCTATATGCTCAAAACAAATATCTCAAAAGCTGTAACAAAGAAGGAGATACACGCCTTGGCTTTATACAACTATGTTGTTATCTTGCAAGAGATGATTCAAAAAACTAAGATATCACAAACGTGCCAAATCAGATTTGATTGAAATAGAGTCCTATTCTATTTCGTCATCTTTTGTACTATAAAGGTTGATTTTCAATCAACAATTAATATCCAACAAAACAGTGTATATCAATATGTAAACAACGAAGCCAAATAGGATATTCATTCAAACATACTTTCCAAGTCCAAGATGATGAAAACTTAATAATTTAACTTAAACCAAAATAGAGTCTAACTAGGAAAGTAATCTCAAGAGATAAAATCTAATCCTATTAAAAATAAGATTAACATAAAGATACTTGAGTGAAAATAACTCCAACTAGGAATCCTATAATGAATGCATGATTATGTCATGATTTACCTGAGGTCAAGATTCTCATATGGTCAGGACATGCCTCGGAAGTGTGGGGTTGAAAGAGTAGTGACAAAGCGTTCAATAACAATTCCTCACAAACTAATTTTCACCCTATACTAAAGTCTAGGAAATGCCAATACGAATTTCGTACTAACAATCTCCCCCTTTGGCATTTCCTAGACAAAACATTGGATTACATTTCAAATACGTTTACAAGAAGACAAAACCTACATATCCTACTTTGCTTTGTCAGACAGATATTCAGTTCTTGCAATGTCTGCACAACAACAACCAGACAACCAGTGAAGCATAATAGAATTGAGATAATAATAGCCATAACTTAGCATAGTTAAATATTTCATATGTCAGGAGGTTAAGCAGAGTACCACAAGTTCTGATCCAAAGACAGAAAACATTAACTCCCCCTAAACCTCATATGTACCACAAAATATTTACTCCCCCTAAATTTCATATATACCACAAAATATTCTCCCCCTTTTTGTTTAGGAAATCCAAAGGGACACAGAGAGGACCTCAAAAAGAAAACAACCAGAAGCAGAACAGAAGAACCTTAGATGCTGCGAGCCCGAGGAGAACGGGGAGGAGCAGTAGGCTGAATGTGCCCAGCAACAGATAGCAACAGCTCACTATAGGTGTCAAGACGATTCCAGATGCGACGAAGAAGTGCATGCGTCACCTGATGGGAGGCAGAGAGTGAATCCAAAAGAGCCTGTTGCTCGATGGAGAAACCACCAGAAGTACAGTGAGCATCGCTGCGGTGTAAAGTGACTTGGTTGTTGACTTTGAGGGAGTCGGATGAGCCAATATCATCTGTAGGTAGGGCAGGCACACGAGCATGAGCGGCCAAGGCAGTGACAATCCGAGGAAGAACAAGACTGGACGCCGGAACAGTGGCATTGGCAGCACCAGCGACAATAAGGCTTTCACGAACATAGAACTCAACACTGACAGATTGCTCAATCACTAACTGGAAAAGAATATGAGCAGCTTTCCAACTCACTTTCCCATGTTGAGAAGTTGGATTCAGATAGTTTCGCACAAGCATATACAGAGTACGGGTCCACTGAGACATCATACCAGAGGAGAGTTCAGTGGGGAGCACCTCCGGTGGAGACACATAGAGGCGATTCACCAGCTGACGACACGGAAGAAAATCAGGAACTGGCTCACACGAACTTCCAGAGCGAATAGGAGGCAGACCCAGAGCAGCCGAAATAAAATGGAAACTGAGTGGAATCGCAACCCCACGCACACGCACAACCAAACCAGACAAGGCAACAGAGGCAGCAGATACATCAGGAAAATTTGCATAAAACTCCCGAATGATCTGAAAATTCGGTAGAGGCAACCCACGAACTAATGGCAAGAGACGATGCCGAGTGAGAAAATCAACAAAAGTGGGGCCAAAACTAGAGAGGTCGAAATCCTTTTCGATTAACAGAGGACGATGACAGATTACATATGTATACCGAGTAGCACACACCGGAGAAACGAAGTGGGAAGCCGGTGGATGAGGGGATGCACGAGACGCTGTGCTGGAGCGCGAGCGCCGGGAGGAGGACGGCCGTGATGGGCTTGCAGTCGGCGTAACACCCGAGGGAGGAGAAGCAGCAGTTCGGCGGCGCACGGAGCGGGAGGGGCTGTGATCAGTAGCAGCGGATGAGGAGGTACGACGGCTCCGTGTGGTGACCATGGTGATGCGACAGAGCAAGACACGAAGTAGCAGACGCTGTGACCCTTGGGTGACAGCAATGGGGGCTGAAGAGAGATCGAATCTGATTGAGGAAGAGGATGACCTAATCTGCACAGTTTAAACACACAGGGTAAAACGCACCGTGTGGTTGCAAGTTTTTTTGTTTTTTTGTTTTTTTGGAATGGAAAAAAAAACTGTCTAAACAAGAAGAAAAACAAAACAAAAAACAAAAAACAAAAAAAAATGAAAAGAAAACTAGGACACACTGAAGATAGAAAACCAAGATATATAATACACATGTGATGCAGCCACAAAGCTCTCGGGAAGATGTAATTATTTTCCATTTAAAAACATGCCAGGTAAGTGAGCAAGACGAGACAGTAGGAGCAGATCCATTGTTGTCTGGAACGCATAAGAAGCAAAGCATAGCAGGAACAAAAGCAAGCCACTGAATGAAACGCACAAATTCACAGATAATCAAGGAGGCAGACCACATGCAAGGTGAAAGATAAACAACACCAAATGAGTCTACCATCAGGAAGCAAAAGTGTGAAGTGAACTCCTTTCAATGAAGCACAAAAAATACAGCCACCCAAGACTGATCCACCAAAGATGACACATACACTAAGTGCATTGTAAGTATAATAAGATCGGTTGATTTTTTTATTTTTTATTTTTTATTTAAATTTTTTTTTATTTTTTTATTTTTAGAGGGCTTTCTTTATTTAGCTTTCGACATGATCCATGTAACGGATGGTCAATCAGTATGCTCACGTCAGATGACTGGAAGCAACTGGGTGATAAAGCACCCTTGGGGAAATACTGATCCGAATCATGAAGGCTCCAAAGATAAGCAAGGATAGCAGACCATCACAACCTGTTGACTCGAACCTCGACGTTGGTTAGACAAGAGGCCCGGTTACTGAGCAATGAGTGGTCAACACCTTTTTTTGTTTTTGTTTTTGTTTTTGTTTTTTTTTATATAATATTTATTTATTTATAACCAGATCAGGAACTTACACACAGTAGTGTGATGGCAATCCAAAGAGAGACAAGTGCACGAGAAGAGATATTCAAGGACTTCAAGAAAAAGAGTGTGATGTGCAATATAAAGCTAAATAGATGGATAGATCATTTAATGAAGTTTATAAAGCACCAAGACAATGGAAACCTTTGTGGAAAGCTGTGAGTGTGTGGCTTCAATAGAGTGCTGTACCAGAGTCCAATCGAAGATCAGCTAATACGTTCAGACAACTACAGGATTGATGCAGCCTAACAATCCTTGCACGAGCTGGACAGAGTTATAAAAATATAAAATAAACAGCATACAGCAAGAATAGGCATTGGCATGCAGTGCACTCCGAATCAATCAAGAGCACAAATACCTAATGACTGTCTAAGGGTTTCAAACCGTAGATTGTCTAGAGGTTTTGTGAAAATATCAGCTAATTGTTTTTCAGTAGAAACAAATTCAAGTGAGAGCACATTCTCTTCCACTAATTCACGAATAAAATGGTGACGAATATCAATGTGTTTTGTGCGAGAGTGTTGAACCGGATTTTTAGAGATATTAATTGCACTCATGTTATCACAAAACGTGACCATTTTACCTTGCCGAATGCCGTAGTCATTGAGCATTTGTTTCATCCATAACAACTGTGTGCAGCAACTCCCAGCAGCGATGTACTCGGCCTCGGCCGTGGAGAGAGAGACACAATTTTGCTTCTTGCTAAACCAAGAGACAAGGTTGTTGCCTATGTAAAAACATCCGCCAGTTGTGCTTTTTCTATCATCAATGCTCCCAGCCCAATCTGCATCAGAATAGCCTGCAAGTTCAACATTTGAGTCAAATGAGTAGTATACACCAAAGTTTGTGGTACCACTCACATAGCGGAGAATTCTTTTCACAGCAAGTAGATGTGATTCTTTGGGATCGGATTGGAAGCGAGCACAAAGTCCAACACTGAAGGAGATGTCAGGTCTACTGGCAGTCAAATATAACAAGCTGCCAATCATGCTTCTATATAATTTCTGGTCTACACTTTTGCCATGTAAATCCTTGGAAAGTTTGGTGCTTGTGCTCATAGGATTTCGAATGGGCTTGGCAGATTCAAGACCAAATTTGGACACCAAATTTTTGGCATACTTTGTTTGAGATATGAACATGCCTCCATTGAATTGTTGAACCTGCAAACCAAGAAAAAAATTTAGTTCACCAAACATGCTCATCTCAAATTCGGTTTGCATTACCTCATGAAATTCTTTGACAAGAATGTCTGAAGTAGATCCAAAAACAATATCATCCACATATACTTGAGCAACCATTAAATCTTGTTTGGTTCTTTTGACAAAGAGGGTCTTATCAATGCTACCACGAGTGTACCCTTTTTGAAGAAGATGTGTGGACAATCTATCATACCATGCTCTCGGGGCTTGTTTGAGTCCATAGAGAGCCTTTTTCAGACGATATACATGATTGGGATGGATAGGATCTTGAAAACCTGCAGGTTGTTCCACATAGATTTCCTCTTGTAAAACTCCATTTAGGAACGCACTCTTCACATCCATCTGATAGAGCTTGAACTGAAGATAACATGCAATGGATAGCAACAATCGAACAGATTCTAAACGTGCAACCGGAGCAAAAGTCTCATCAAAATCCAAACCTTCAATTTGAGAATAACCTTGGGCAACAAGTCTAGCTTTGTTGCGCATAATTTGTCCTTTCTCATCTGTCTTATTTCGAAAGATCCACTTGGTACCAATTACATTTGAGTCTTTGGGACGTGGAACAAGATACCACACATCATTTCTTTCGAATTGATTTAATTCATCTTGCATAGCCAGAATCCAGTCGTCATCTGCAAGAGCATCTGTCACACTCTTAGGTTCAATAAGGGATACATAACATAAATTGGTTACCTCATTACAGACTTGTTGTCGAGTTCTCAATTTATCATTAACATTCCCAATAACATCTGAAGGTGAGTGATCTTTCTGAACTTGTTTTGCACCAGGTCTGCGTATCACAGGATTGATAGGCTGGTTACAATCCTCGAAGTCAGCTTCAGTACCATCTGCAGATTCGTGAGTTTCCATATCTGTATCTTCACTCCTAGGTTCAACCTGCAATATAGAAGTGTCATTTACAACCACATTAGCTGATTCCATTATTATTTTAGTGCGACTATTAAACACCCTATATGCTCGACTATTCATAGAATAACCAAGAAATATTCCAACATCACTTCTTGCATCAAATTTTCCAAGATACTCCCTGTCTTTGTAAATGTAGCATTTACTACCAAAAGTCCTTAAGTGCTTGACATTTGGTTTCTTCCCTTTCCAGATTTCATATGGAGTGCTCTTGGTATGTGGCCTGAAAAACACACGGTTAGATGTATAGCATGCAGTACTGATGGCTTCAGCCCAAAAATGATCCGCCAATTTGGCACTTTTTAACAAGACACGAGCCATGTCAAGGAGGACTCTATTTTTCCTTTCAACTACCCCATTTTGTTGGGGAGTGATTGGAGCAGAGAATTCATGTTTTATTCCTTGTTCAGAACAGAAATCAGAGAAGGCACGATTTTCAAATTCCATCCCGTGGTCTGTCCTAAGTCTCATGATACAAGAATTAGTGTCATATTTTTCATTCATGATTAGCTTGTACAAAACATAGAAGGAATTAAAGGCTTCTGTCTTATCATGCAAAAAAATGACCCAAGTAAAACGTGAGAAATCATCTACTAAGACAAGAATGTATTTCTTTCCTCCTAAGCTAGCAACTTGAATTGGACCAACCAAATCCATATGCATCAGTTCCAAAGTTTTAGAGGTGGAGATTGAGTTTGTAGCTTTGTGAGGGTTTTTGGTTTGCTTTCCCAGTTGGCAACCTTCACAAGCACCCTCACGTTTACCTGAAAGATTGGGCAATCCTCTTACAGATTCACAATTTGACAATTTAATTAGGTCTTGATAGTTCATGTGTCCCAAACGTTGATGCCATAAATCAAGATGATCTTTACTTGTCCTAAAACACACTTGAGAAACTTCATTAGTGGAAAAACAATAACAATTGTCAGGTGATCTGTTTCCAATCATCACATTTAATCCATCTTTATTCTTAACAATACATTGGGTTTTAATAAAACTTACCTCACCTATTTCATCACAAAGTTGACTTACACTGATGAGGTTTGCTTGAAGATTTTCAACTAATAAAACATTGTCCAAGCTAGGTGTACCAGTTGCCATAATCTTTCCTTTGCCCAAAATCTTGGATTTTCTTCCATCTCCAAAAGTAACCATTCCACTCACGCATTCTGGAGAGATTTCTGAAAAATATGATTTTTCACCAGTCATGTGTCTCGAACATCCACTATCAAAATACCAAGATTTAGATTTAGAGTCAGAAAGAGCAGTAAGAGCAACAAAACATTTCACATCTAATATTTCAGGAGGATTAGTTTGATGTGAATCACTTGAAATTGCCAGCAAGCAATTTTGATTATCCTTTCTTCTCCACACTAGATTTGAACTTGGTAAGGATAGGGAATGAGAGAGTTTTGACAGCCTACTTACCTCTTTTACAAGACATGCAATCTTGTTTCGAATTCTTACCTGTCCCTCCTTGGTGGACTTTTGACTTACAAAAATCTGTTGAAACAGTTTGCATTTTGGTCGAATGTGTCCACGAGCTCCACAATAATGACACGTGGGTGTAAATCTCCAAGTTGTTTGATGAGTTGGAATACCAGTAGAAAGTGATGGTTTGACAAACTTTGTAACAGATACAGCGAAAGACTTGTTGAATGAATCAAAACCTAAGCCACGTTTGTCTCCATCTCTTCGACCCATGCTAATCATTTTGTCAACCTTTTCTGCACCAATTGTCAAAGCAATAATCCTTTCCCTTGAACTTTTAAGCTCAATTTCAAGAGCTTGGTTGTTAGAGGTCAAAGAATCAATTAATTTATTTTGATCAAAGCATTTTTTCTGTAAGAATTCCAATTTTTCGTACATACCTTCACACATACCTTCACCAACTGTTTCTGGTTCAGCAGTAGAGGATTGTAATGTCCTGGCAATCCTACTGTTTTCAAGCTCCAGCACAGCAACCTTTTTGGCAAGCTCTTTGTTGTGTTGATTCAGTTTCTGAGAGGCAGCTAGAAGATCGTCATATTTTTCCAGCACATAACCAATATTTGGTTCTTCATCATTCCCATTGTTTTGCTGTGCCTTATCCAAACTAACAGTGGTGATTAACGCAATGGTATTTTCTTCACTTTCAGATTCTGAATCGCTGTCACTCCAGGTTACATTCAATGCTTTGGCTTTGCCATTTTGCTTCTTTTGTGTGTTGGCACATTCAGTGGAAATATGTCCATATCCTTCGCATTCATAGCACTTGACTCTGTCTTTAGTGGTCTTCTTCTCAGTAAACCTGCGAGATTTTAAATTACCATCAGTGTAATCACCATGCTTAATTTTTGAATTTATACCTGAGTGATTTTTTGAATCATGACTTCTCGAATTTTGATATTTGAAAAACTTCTTGAATTGTCGTGAAAGATAGGCAAATTCCTCCCCATTGAATTCTTCAGATTGGTGTTCACCATCTTCATTATCAACTACTTTAAGAGCAACGCTTTTATTTTTCTTAGGAGCTAGATGCTTCATCTCGTAGGTTTGAAGCGACCCTATAAGTTCACGAACTTTCAGAGTGTTCAGGTCACGAATCTCTTCAATGGCTGTGATCTTTGGTGAAAAACGTGGAGGCAAGGACCGTAAAATCTTTTTCACCACCCTATCTTCTGGAATTTTTTCACCTAAATTTGAACATGCATTCACAATAACGCAAAGTTTGGCATAAAATTCAGAAAAGGTTTCATTCTCATCCATCAGAATTGTCTCGAATTGTAGAGTGTGCATTTGAAGCTTGGCACCCTTGACAGTATCTGTTCCTTCATGAGTGACCTGCAAAATATCCCAAGCTTCCTTAGAAGTATCACAACTAGATATATATTCAAATTGATCAGAAGATACAGCAGTAAATATAGCATTTAACCCTTTTTGATTATTAGTACTGTGTGTGACTTCTGCAGTGGTCCACTCCTCTCTAGATTTGAGAACTGTGGTTTCTTCATCTCCTTTTCCGATCTTCTTTGTGGGTTCAGAAAATCCATGAACCACTGTGTACCATACACGTTCATCTAAGGACCAAAGAAACGACTTCATTTTGGCCTTCCAAGCACCATAGTTGTTGCCATCGAAATATGGTGGATGTGCAACAGAACCCGCGGCACGATCCATCGTAAGGTATGTTAGATCTTGCTGAGTATGTCCAGCAACCTGCTTTGATGCCAATTGAAAATACCTGTAGGATGTCTATATATGCCTAGAGAAGGTTAAACAGGCTAATTCGAATTTTTTGCAATAAATAATAATAAACTTTTGACGCAGGATTGATATGGCCTATCAATCCTGTAATGTGCAGAGCTTAAATTAAAAGAACACACAGAGAATTATTTTACGTGGTAAAACCCCACCTCTGGGGAAAATCCACGGGACTTCTCAGTCCAACACAAATCCACTATAGAACGATGATTACAAGAAGTACTCACACACTTATCCTAGACACACTCTAGATAATGTTTACCGACTTCTTCGTAACTCAACTTCTGTCACAGGATGATCTTCGACACTCCTTATGTTGAACGCAATACTGGCCACGATTGCTTCAAGCTCACCGGAGAAAAACCGCCACCACGGTCTTGGTGCCCTCAACCGTATGAGTCACCGACATGCATATGAATGCAATATGAATGATTAAAGTGTTTGATAAATCACCAAGTAAACATTGAACACTTGATGATTTATCTCAAATATACGCACAACAGCTTTTCTTAGAATTCTATATGCTCAAAACAAATATCTCAAAAGCTGTAACAAAGAAGGAGATACACGCCTTGGCTTTATACAACTATGTTGTTATCTTGCAAGAGATGATTCAAAAAACTAAGATATCACAAACGTGCCAAATCAGATTTGATTGAAATAGAGTCCTATTCTATTTCGTCATCTTTTGTACTATAAAGGTTGATTTTCAATCAACAATTAATATCCAACAAAACAGTGTATATCAATATGTAAACAACGAAGCCAAATAGGATATTCATTCAAACATACTTTCCAAGTCCAAGATGATGAAAACTTAATAATTTAACTTAAACCAAAATAGAGTCTAACTAGGAAAGTAATCTCAAGAGATAAAATCTAATCCTATTAAAAATAAGATTAACATAAAGATACTTGAGTGAAAATAACTCCAACTAGGAATCCTATAATGAATGCATGATTATGTCATGATTTACCTGAGGTCAAGATTCTCATATGGTCAGGACATGACTCGGAAGTGTGGGGTTGAAAGAGTAGTGACAAAGCGTTCAATAACAATTCCTCACAAACTAATTTTCACCCTATACTAAAGTCTAGGAAATGCCAATACGAATTTCGTACTAACATCTTTCATAAATTAAAAATAGGTATGTTATAGGTACACAGAATAGAGGTGTCAAACGGGATAGGCCAGCCCAGCATGGCACGAGCACATCTCGTTTAAATGAGGCACGACACGAGCATGGATATTAATGGGCCGTGCTTGGCACGACATGAAAACTTGGGTTGAACAGGAATAAAAAATTAGGTCCAATAGACCAGGCCAGCCCATGGCCCGACATGGGCCTAGCTTGGCCCAAGCTCGCTTCAAGCACTACACAAGTCCAAGCTTGCTTCAAGCACAGCCCAAGCCCAGCCCACTTAACCCAGCAAGATTGAAGTCGTGGAAGCAAACTTATGATTTTTTGAATTCTTCGGATATTACAACTACTATATCCTAATTATATACCCATTTAGAGATTCACAATAGGGAGGTGTAAATTTGGAGGTGTAAAGCCACTTTTACATTTCCTTTACACCTCCGAGAGATACAAATGTTATTTTTGTTCCAATAAGTTGGATGAAAATTCAAAGATGTAAATCCACTTAACAGCTTCGGCCATATTAGCAGCTTTTCTTTCCACCTATCAATAGTATAACAAATATATGGGGAAGTAAGGAATAGGGATGGGATATCAACAAACTAAGAAGGAATTAATCATGGAATTTAGGAATGGGAGAAGCACACACATAATAGGGATGGAATATCAATAGACTAATAGGGAATCAAGCAATGTAAATGGGGGAAGTAAGAATCAAGGAATTTTAGTTATGGCGGAAGTAAAGAATCAAGGAATTTAGGAATGGGGGAATTGAAGAATTAATCAAAGAATTTAGGCAAGTAAGAAATCAATGAATTTAGGAATGGGAAAGTAAGGAATAGGATTGGGATATCAACAAACTAGTAAGGAATTAATCAAGGAATTTAGGAATGGGGAAGTAAGGAATATGAATTTAGCCCATATGCCTAATATTGCAACAGACTGACTGGTTTCATCACTTCGATTTGCCCATTTGGGAACAAATATGTGACTTTTTCTAAAAGAATAGGCCACATACAAACTTTACAAGTAAAAATGGCGCCGGTCAGCTGAGTTCATTCACCATTTGTGGTAAACAAAGCCCAATTTTCAATTTGATGAGAGCCTAAATACCAGATAGGGTCTTGTGCGTAGAATTAGGCCCAAACAGGAGGTTAAAACTTAAACCTCAAATAACATTAATACATAAGAAACAGAAAGAACATAGGAAACACAAGCGAATGCTTCACAAGAAGGTGAAGCTGCAAATTACGAACACGAGAAATAGAATACAACATGCTGTGATATTTATAGTAGTAGTATTGATTCACACCATTTTATTGTGCATGCCAAAATAAAAGACCAACTCAGGCATCTTCTAATGTGAGTATTGCTTCAACTACTGGGGAAGTGCCAGTGCCAATTGAGATAGTTGACATGCAGCCACCCCAAGTCTCACTCTTGTAGATGCGATTTTGATTCAAACCATCATAGATTATGGGGATCCAACCAACATCACTCACACAGTGTTCAGCTAGTCGACTCTCAGGATACACCTACACAAGAAGAGATTGTTTTTGAAATCATAAATGCTTCCTCGTCAATGATCTGAATAATTCGGAAATATTTCTGGAAGTAGCAAACTAGGTATACTACATTACTTCACTGAGATAAGCTGAACCGAAAATAACATACCGAGTTTTTACTGGCAACCCTATTGTTGCTCAACGCCAGCATCCATCCGCGGTCCTCACCATCCTTGGTCTTGCTGTTGTACACAACGTTGCTGGCAGATCCTTCAAACTTTCCAACGCCTTGGACATGCAGAAGGCAGCCCACTGCCCATTTGCGATGAGTGCTGGGTAGGGGGAGTTTCCAATGTGCCCACACCAATCCTTACTTACAGAATATGTTAAGGTGTCTCTAGTTGCATTGTAAACAAGGCAAAGTGTGGAGATTCCATCACCGTGCTGCTTCTTCAAATTCTCCACAAAAGTAAGGGCCTTAAGGTCATTCTCCCCGACGTTTTTCATCTGCAGAGCCACTTTTGTCCTGTCTTTTCTTTCTGTTGCCTTGCACTCAAACTCCGGCATCCCTTTCAAAGTCGAGCTTTCGATGGGGTTGCCGAATACGTTGTACGCAATCTCTCAACTGATTTTTTTATATCTTAATTCTCTCTTTCTCTCTTGAGCACTCTGAATCTGAGCTAGCTACAAATTGAATGAATATGTACAAGAAGAAACCCTATATATAGGAGGTCAATTCCACAGTACTATTGTTGATGGCACCCCTATGTTTCAGGTAGTTGAGAAAATAAAGGCTACACGACTTCGTCTCTTACAATGGCACCGATCAGTTTTCACAGCTACACAGCAGGACATCCAAAGCACTCGCGATAAATTGGGGATTATTTGGCAACAACAGTGCACAGATTAGACTATTGTAGCCTTCAAAGCCTTATTGACGCAATTAGATGAGTTATTGGTTCGCAAGGAGGCTTATTGGCAGCAAAGAGCTAAGGTGACTTGGCTTCGCGACGGGGATAGGAATACCAGATTCTTTCACCAACGAGCCAACATGCGGAAGCAGAGAAATCATATTCATGGACTAACCGATAGCAATGGTGTATGGAAGGAGGACAGCGCAGCAGTCCAGGAAATAGTGGTGGATTATTTCACATACCTTTTCACCTCTAATTGTAGACGCAAGGAGGATATTCTTCTCAATACTGTTGAACCATGTGTGACACCAGCCATGAATGCCTCGCTCTTTACTGGCTTCACTGAGCAGGAAGTAAAGCAAGCTGTCTTTCAGATGTACCCAACCAAGGCACCTGGCCCGGATGGAATGCCACCTGTCTTTTTTCAGAAATATTGGCACATTGTGCGCAACGATGTGTCTTGAGCCATTATTAATTTTCTATCTTCAGGGCGTCTACTTCACAAGATCAACTTCACCCATGTGGTGCTTATTCCTAAAGTGAAAACCCCAAAGGATATGACCCAACTACGGCCTATCAGCCTCTGCAATGTTTTATTTAAAATTGCCTCCAAGGTGTTGGCTAATCGACTTAAAGTTATCCTCCCTTCTCTGATCTCGCCCAGTCAGAGTTCTTTTGTTTCAGGTCGCGTTATCTCTGATAATTCCATTTTGGCTGCTGAAATCATCCATTGCCTGCGGCGTCGACGATGGGGTAAGAAAGGCTTTTTAGCACTAAAACTTGATATGAGTAAGGCTTACGACAGAATTGAATGGCCTTTCTTGGAACAAATGATGAAGAAATTGGGTTTTGCAGAACAATGGGTTAGTCTTATAATGACTTGTGTCACCACTGTTACTTACTCCTTTCTAGTTAATGGCTCACCTTGTGGCTACCTTACCCCTTCTAGGGGTCTCAGACAGGGAGATCCGCTGTCACCCTATATGTTTATTTTATGTGCACAAGGTTTCTCTAGTTTTCTTATACAGGCGGAATGGGATGGGTGTGTAAAAGGAGTCTCCATTTGTCGGGTGCTCCTCCAATCAACCACCTACTGTTTGCCGATGATTGCTACCTGTTTGCCCGTGCAAATGTGGGAGATTGTGGGACAATCAAGAAGGCACTCTCTTGGTATGAATGGGTAGCCGGTCAACAAGTTAATTTACAGAATAGTGCAATATGTTTCAGCAAAAATGTTAAGCGCCAAGACCAACTGGATCTCGCCACATCTCTTGGTGTCCCATGTGCTGATCATTATGATAAGTATCTTGGGCTTCCAATGGTAGTTGGCAGGAACAAAGGTTCCTCATTTGCACATCTCAAGGAACGGTTGGGGAAAAAATTGCATAGCTGGAAAGGAAAGCTTTTAAGTGGGGCAGGGAAAGAAATCCTTATCAAAACTGTGGCACAGGCTCTCCCATTGCATTTGATGAGCGTTTATTTATTGCCCAAATATATTTGCGATGATCTTAACCGCTTAATTGCAGATTTCTGGTGGAATGGAAACAATGGCGACAGGAAAATACATTGGCTTACTTGGGATAAGCTTTGCCAACCCAAAGAGCTTGGAGGACTGGGCTTCCGTGATTTATATGCTTTCAACCTTGCTATGTTAGCTAAGCAAGGATGGAGACTCATACAATATCCAAATTCTCTATTAGCGAGTGTTCTACGAGCTAAGTATTTTCCCGACAAATCGTTTCTTGATGTTCCTGTCTCAGAAAATTCTTCTTTTTTTTGGAAAAGTATTTGTGCAGCCAGAAAAATTCTTTTGCAGGGATCTAGAAGGCAAGTGGGCAGTGGGGTAGAGATTGATATTTGGAAGGACCCATGGCTGCCACGCCCTTCTACCTTTCGGGTTATTTCACCGAAACCCAACGGTTGTGCTATTACCAAGGTGAATGAGCTTATTCTTGACCACCCTCGGCGCTGGAATATCAGCCTTCTATCTAACCTCCTTTACCCTCCCGATGTGGATGTGATCCGAACTCTTCCGCTGAGCTTTCATCACAGGGACGACGCTCTTATCTGGCATTTTGAAAAAAAAGGTCAGTTCACTGTCAAAAGTGCTTACAAGGTAGCCCGCACGGTTCTTGATCCCAGTACCGTGGCGTCATCATCAAATGGAAATGGTTTTAGTAAAGGGTGGACTGCTCTTTGGAAGGCAAAGATTCCAGGCAAAATCAAATTGTTTTGGTAGAGAGCGTGCACTGGCATTCTACCAACCAAGGACAACTTATGGAAACGAAAGTTACATGTGGATACATGCTGTGACTTATGTGGGGCTGAAATGGAGTCTACTCTACATGTGTTATGGCATTGCCCATTTGCAAGAGGGGTCTGGGCCTGTGCTTTAATTGGCAGCGGTGGTATCCCTCGACAATACCACCATGTGCATGATTGGGTCCTCTCACGTATTGACCATTTATCCTATGCTGACTTGGACCTCTTTTTTGTTACTGGTCGGGTAATCTGGGAGGCTCGAAATGACAAACTATGGAATAGCCAAACACCCAAACCAGAATTCACAAGCTCTAGTGCTGCTGTTCGTCTACATGATTTTGTTCGTGCTCGCCCCCAGGGGGCTGCTCTCGGTAAGGTGTTATGCACAGAATTAGGCCCAAACAGGAGGTTAAACCTCAAATAACATCAAGATCTAAAATATTGATGATATCAGAAATATTGGTAGTCCAAAAACACGAAAATTTCGACTGAAATATTGGGATATTATCAATATCAATAAAAATTGAATAAAAACCCCAAAAATTATAAGAAAAACTTGAAAATTTTTATTGAAACTTTGGAGGATGTTTATTTAGTCAATTATCTATTAGTTTATCATAAAAAATTGGAAGGAAATGCATTACATGATGTAATTAACTGATTTATATTGGTTATATAGCGAGCTGGCAAACACTGTGAGTATAGAAAATACGTATCAATTAATGAAAAAAGATTAAACACACCATAATCATTTACATATAATAATTTATTACAAAATTTTACATTTTATACATTGCATGGTAAGATACATGAGTGATTTAATACCACATAGAGTTCCTATGAGGTTCAAAATTTTCACTATCTTCATCATCTCTATGTGTAGAGTAAGTGTATTGTGAAGAGTAGTCATCAAATGATAAATCTCCAAAATAGTTTTGCATATAATTGTTAACATGCCATCCAAAGGAAAGGTCAAAGATTCATTCTCATGTAAAAATTTGATTCTTATTGCAAAAAGAATTCAAAACAAAACAATATAAATATAAATATTTTAGCGTATTATAAAAAAAAAAATATAAGTGATATAATGGTTAAGGTGTTGGAGGAGTAAAGTGAGAGGGGTTCAAATCCTTTTTGTTTTTTTTTTTTCCCCTTTTTTTTTTTCTCCCTTTTTTCTACCCTTTTTTTTTTTTTTTTTTTTTTTTTTTTTTTTTTTTTCTATTGCGATATTTTCAATATTATAGCGATATTTTGACAAAATATTGCTGAAGTGTAAGTGAAATTATCGATATCGATATTTTTCAGATATTATCTTTGATATTATTATCTATATTTATACAATATGTGCATGGATACGTTCCGAAATATCGGTGATTCGGAAAAACAATAATATCCTCAATATTTCATCGATATTATCGATATTTTAGACTATGAATAGCATTAATACATCAAGACGGTGAAGCTGCAAATTATAAACACGAGAAATAGAATACAACATGCTGTGATATTTATAGTCGTAGTATTGGTTCACACCATTTTATTGTGCATGCCAAAATAAAAGACCAACTCAGGCATCTTCTAATGTGAGTATTGGTTCAACTACTGGGGAAGTGCCAGTGCCAGTTGAGATGTGATTTTGATTCAAACCATCATAGATTATGGGGATCGAACCAACATTACTCACATAGTGTTTAGCTGGTCGATTCTCAGCATACACCTGCACAATAATACGGAAATATTTATGGGAGTAGCAAACTAGGTATAATAGATAATATAATCTGAACCGAAAATATAATAAAGAGAATAATCCAGCCCCTGCATAAATTTCTCCACAACCATTGTTCTTGAGGAGAAAAACTTCCTTGTCACATGGAAGCAAACACGTAAGTATGCCAAGCCAATAAAATGTCCATAGCTTGCAACTAATTTTACTTCCAATTTTAAATATTAAAATAATGTTTTGAACCCACTTTCTCTTCTCTCTTCCGCATCTCTCTCTCTCTCTCTCATCCATTAATCTCTCTTCAATCACTCCTCACCATCATCGTCACCCACACGCCCCTGCATTCATTCCTCTTTTTCTCTTCAATCACTCAGCCCGCATAATCAATTTGTTTTTCAATTTAAAATTTTACAAAGTATTTTTACCCATGTTATTCCCCTTCTCTCTCTCTCTCTCTCTCTCTCTCTCTCCCTCATTCCTCTTGCAGTCCGTTAAAAAAACTCTGTTCTTCTTCTATTTCTGGTGTTTCACTTCCTCTTCAGTCACTCCTTCAACACCCACACATCATATATTCATTTCTCTCTGTTTTTTTTAGCTTAATAAATGAAGGTGAAGAAGGATAATACTTTGTGATAATGGAATGGCAGGAGAGATTCCTTACATCTGGAGAAGAAATCAATACATGGTGCGATTTTTCTCCCCAAAACCGTGCCTTCACTGTTCCCTGACAGAACTCAAGCTCTCTCAGCTTCACCATTCCAAATTTTCCAAAACTACCCAATAGATAATAAAATTTGAAGAAAAAAAGAAGAAAGAGATTCCTGAGATCTAGAGGAGGGAGAGTGACGCTGGAGAAGATTTTTCTTCCCCAAAACGTATACTGTTCCTCAACAAAATCGAAGCCAACCCAATATTTATCAACTCCACCATTTACAAATTTTCCAGATTTCTCCAATAAATATAAGGGAGATTTACTATTATATCCAATACAGGGACCCAAATTATAAAAATATCTCATATGAAATGAACTTTAGAAATACTCCCAAAATCCATTTACAATATAATAAAGAGGTCTTTAACTTTTTATAAATTACAAAACTGTCATTGATTTCTTAAGATAAGCCCAATCCCAAAATCTCATAAAAATACTCAAAACACTCAATAGGACATCAAAGTAATTTAATAATCAATATTAAATTCAATAAGGTCAGCTATTTTGGGTTTTTTTTTGTTTAGAAATTCAATGGTGTAAGATTTATCTATAATATTAGTGCTAAGAATGGGTATATCTCTAAATGTAACTTACTAAAATTAAAACTGAGAGATCAATACCAAGCGTGGCTTATGAAGGATTACTTATTAAAGAGAGAGGAATGCTGGATGATGATGATGGAGGAGTGACTAAAGTCAAGAAAGAGAAACATTAATGGATGAGAGAGAGGGACGCAGAGGAGAGAGAAGAGAAAATGGGTGCAACACCTTTTTAAAATATTTAAAATTAGTTGGCAGCTGTCGACGTTCTATTGGTTTGTGACACTTACGTGGTTTGCTGATAGTGGCATCGCTATTACAGGGAAGTTTTTATCGTTGTTAAGCGTGTCTCACTCAAATCATGCATTGATAGATCACCATTTATAGTGTGTTTACTAATCAGAAATTGGAATTCTCATCAGGAATTGAATTCCGTCTATAGAGCATTCATATGTTTACTTCACATCAAGAAATTGAAAAGTAAGCGGGGCCCATATAAAATTAGAAATTGAATTCTTGATTTTGGATGAATTCAATTCCTGAATGGGAGATGGTATTCTAATTCCTAAAGAATTCACCCATTAGGAATTTATCTTTTTTACTCATTATATCCTCACACAATTTTTAAAATTCCAAATATACCATATTTTATAACTCAATAATGAGGACATTTTGATAATTAGTACCACTCCTACCTCAATTTCATATGGTTTAGTAAACAACTTCAATAGTAATTCGGAATCTAACTCCCCTCAATCTATATGATTTAGTAAACAACTTCATTAAGATTCTAGAATTTAATTCTCCTCAATCCAACTCCTCCTCAATTCAATTCATCCTCAATTCGAATAATTGTAATCTGTTTCGTATTGATAGCCTAAGGTTACTTTTTACCATAATTAGGCTCGTGCATAAGTCAACTTTAGCCTGTGTATATTTTAACTCCTTAATGAATGAAAATCATCGAGCTTTTCTGCCAGCAACCCATCCTATCTAAAATTCTTCATGGTATCAAAGCCCTAAAAGGGCTAGCGCTCAACTCGATCCACAATGGCAACTGCTCCCATCTCTTCTTCTACATCAATCCCTTCTCAAACTTCACCAAACCTGACCTCTTCAACTACGACATCTCTGTCTTCTGTTGTCCCTACCACCTTCAATATTTCTCATATTTTCCCAACTCCTATGGATCGTACAAATTATTCGTCCTGGAAATCCCAATTTGAGGATGTTCTCGAACGAACTAATCTTGATGAGATTGTCAACCTCGAAACCCGGCCGGAGAAAAAGTTGTCTGATGGCTCCGTCAATCAAGTGTACTCACAAGACAAGTTAGTGATGAGTTGGATCAAAGCAACGTCATCTCTCTCTGTCAAGACACTCCTAATTCCATGCTTGAGCTCATATGAAGCGTGGACACTTGGAGAAAAGACCTCTCTCCTCTTTCCAAAACCCATGTACGATCCTTGAGGGGCCAAATTCGTACTCTCAAAAGAGACTCGGAAAAACCGGTTACTGATTATCTTATTCATGCCTGTTGAAATTAATGCACATTTATGTTAAAGAAATATGTTGAGAAATCTAGAAGCCTTTAGATGAGCCTAAACTATTGGAGAATTATCTAGAAGAAAGCCACACACTTGTGGCTGGAGTAAAGTCGGCAACTACATGCAACCATGAAGATTATTCTAGAAAGCCACACATATGTGGCTGGAGTTTATCTTCCCAAGTCGGTGGAACAAAGCATGTCGGTTGATCAGGCCCATAAATAGGCATGCAACCACAATGAATGGTGGAGTGGAGTTACCTACCAACTTCCAATCTATGGGGAGTCTAACAAAAAGAACTCCCAAACAAAGGAAGTCAAGAGCTACCCAAAGAAAGCTATGTTGAGAGCCAATAAGCTCACCAATCTAAGTATAGGGCCAAATAGTCCAAACTATTCTAAATTAAATCTGGTGGTCAATAAGCCAATATGTTAAGAAGGCCAATTAACCTACACAAAGTTATATACTATTCTCCTCCAAATCTAATAAAATCACTTTGTTTCCCTTACAATTCCAACAATGCCAAATCCTCGTTTGATGCAATCATGGCAGCGGGCTCAACCATGTCAGACAATGATTTTATCGAGTATATGTTATGGACGGTCTTGGTCAAGAATACAAAGAGTTTCTCACCTCAATCTGCAGCCGAATCTTACATTCGATGAATTTTTTGATCTAGTAAACCAGGAAGAACAGCTGCAGAAACGGATGGCCTCTCTTTCCTTGTCTTCTGGTGTTGCTCTTGCCACAGATCGTGTCACAGAGGATCACTCAAATAACTCGAACAACAGGTACAATGGCAACAATAATCACCGCAATAATGGGAGAGGTAGAGGGCGAGGCCGAATATGGAATAACGGTCGTGGACATTGGGATCGTGATAGCGGATGGCGCAACAACCGTGATCCTACCTAGTCACACAACAATGGAAATTGGAATAGGAGCAATTCCCGCTATCAATCTGATCATCAACAAAGCCAACCTCTCCATGATTATCGTCGTCCACTTTTGCCAACACCTTCGCAACACACTGCCTATCAATTTTTAGTCATTTGCCAGCAATGTAACAAGCCTGGACACACCTCCACAGGTTGTCCTGATCGAGGAAATTATGCGTACATTGCTGAAAATGCAGCAGCACATGCAGCAGCCACTCAATCTTCTTTTGATCCAAATACCACCAACTAGTGTCTTGATTCCAGTGCGACCCACCATATGACGTCCAACTCTTCTCTTCTCACCAATGTGCAGCCATGCGCTGGTACCGATACTATTATTGTTGGCAATGGTTCTAATTTAGCTATCACTCATATTGGTAAAACTAATTTATTCTCTTCGGGATGGGCTTTGGATATAAAAGAAGTGTTGTGTGTGTCTGCACTCCGCAATAACGTATTTTCTCCCATGATGATAACAATAATAATTTGGGAGTTTCACTAAAACACCCAAAATAGGAGCTGAAATTATAAAAAAACCCAACACCCAAAACACTTTATAAACACACCCAAAACCCATCATTACACACACTCAAAACCCATTTATAAACACACCCAAAAAATATACAATTGTTGATTTTGAGGTTGATTTTGGGTGTGTTTCTATGTTTAAATAGTGCTTGGGTTTTTTTTATAAATACATGTCTAGGATTGGGTTTATTTATAAATTTGTATAATAATTTTATAATGGACTCTAACAGTTACTGTGTCAAGGAAAACAAGACGGGGAAGGTGCTTCTGGTTGGCAATGGCTCTAATGGTCTTTATCATATTCGTGCAGCTCCCAAAGTTTCTGAAAAACTTGCAGAGAGAGAGAGAGAGGGATGATATTAAACAATTGCAGTTTTTTTTTAAAAAAAATTAACTATTTTTAATATGATTTTTATATTTAAATTTAGATTTTAAATGTTTTAATAGTTGAAATTACTAAAATGTCCATGACACGTCTGCAAATTAACAGATTTGTTAACGAAATTGACAAAATGAGGCAATGCAGGACACGGAGCAAACTTCTAGAGGGTTAAGTGAGAAAATTTAAGTTCCAGGAGATAAAACGTTCGAGTGTAGGGGGTAAAACAAGAATTATGCCTAAACATTAATAAGCAACACTGCTACAGAAGATATGCATAGAAGGCAAGTTGAGTTACTAAACTTGAAATATAGAATAAGAAATCATATTCGCAGGCACCGAAAACAAACCGCTAACGTTGGGACGGGGAGAGAACTTACATTGACCTCATTATCGACACAGTTTTCAGTTATGCCCGCCAGCATCAATGAATTGTAGGGCAGCCTTCTTTACATACAGCTAAAGGAAAAAAGTATTTTTTTTTAAAAAAAAACACAATCAGTGCTTATTCCCATTTTAAAAATAAATAAAAAAAGAAATTAAAAAGGAAAGGTCTGAAGACATACTGCAACCCTTCTCTTCTCGGCAAGCAGCATACGTTTCTTCAATGAAAAAAAGGAAGAAAGTAATTAGTTCTTTATTCGCATGAAACAACAGAAAAGAAAATGTATATATGAACACATTACCCTTACAGCTTCGTCCCACTGCTCAGCAACAATACTCTCAAATAAAACAGAAGGGACGTGTTCGATCTTGTAGAAATCCTCTCCTCCTTCCTGAAGGCGACTACAGAATGTATCAGGCATCAACTTTATGGTTATTTCCTTAAGGGTAGAAACATATTGCAGCCCATCTGGAACTTCCACCAACGTAATCCAATTTTCAATGTACAATCTGCACAGGCTAGGCAAGGCTTCTTCGGACACCCACCAATAGGATAATTCGGACAAACCATTAAGGTAAAGAACTTCAAGAGAAGGAAAGCCCTTACTCGAGCAAACCAATTCACAACCAGCCCCAAAAGCTCCATCTCCAAGGCAAAGGGTTTGTAATTTTGGCAGCTTCTCTAGTATTTCTATCTGGGTGTCCTCGAGACATGTACCACACAACGTTAGCTTGGTGAGGTTTGGATAGGTTGGGAGATCTTCAGGTAAATTTCCAATTGGCCCCATTACTTTCAGCTTGGATACATGACGACATCTATATACTATACTTTTTAATATATCCGTTGAAGTAGACACCACACAGAGAGACTGAACACGGTTAATTGTGAAGATTGCCGCTTCCGAGATTTCCTCCAATATTTCAGAATTCCTTGACCTTACATGTACTGACAGCTTTCTAAGATTCTTTAATTGAACAAGTTCTTTGAAATCAGAGTCTTGGTTCGAAATATGAACTAACGTCTGCAAACTGCCAAGACTAGCCAATGACAGCTTCTCACTTACGCTGTGTTTATAGGGCATGTATAAATGTCTCAATTGTTCCATCTTTGAAAACACATTAGGTATTTTCACCACCACCTTATCTTTACATCGTACATCTAGAGTTTGCAAACACCCCAAACTAGCAACAGATGATGGCAATTGATTCATTTCACTATTCTTCAGACTTAAAAACCTTAAGTGGACAAGATCCCCAATATTACTGGGCAACTTTACTTCAAAACGCATCTCTTCAAACTTCAAAACTCTAAGCAATTTGAAGTCATTGAACATTTTGTCTATCATTTTTTTTTCCATATGAAGCTGCCAAAGTATAACAGAGACCTGAGTTGGCCATCTCTTTCATGTCTTGTGGGGGCTAAACAATCAACCTTTTCGTCCAAATAGATGGCACGTCTTCGAACTTTACCGATAGGTGCTGCCTTGTTAGCCGTGGAAGCAAAATTGACAATATCAAAAAAGTTATCCTCTTTTCCCTTTGACAAGCATAAGTCTCGCATAAGATCATGGAGACGACATGTTTTGATCTTCTTAGTTGAACCATATTTTCCAACTTGAATCATACACCTTTCTACCAACTCATTTAAGCAACCATATGCTACATCTTCAATCATGTCTGTTGATGTTGAAGATATAAGACCTTCTGCCATCCATAATTGAGTTAATCTTTTCACAGGTATCTCATAATCCTCGGGAAAATGGCCTAAATATAGAAAGCATAACTTTAGGCGATATGGTAGGTCATCATAACTTAATGCCAGCACCCATGACGCACCTTTATAGCCTTCATTTTTGTATTCTGGTTCAATGTCTGTGCCTCTCCTTATATATACATCAACATTCTTATACACTTTATACCACTCATCAACTGTTCTTTTTCTAGCTAGAAGTTCTGCAAGCACAATGACAGCTAATGGCAAACCTCCACACTTTTGAAGCATCTTCTTTCCTAGTTCTTCCTTCTTGGCATAAATTTCAGCCACTGAAAACAATAAATATAATAGAAAGCAAAATTAATCTATTTTGTTCAATATTGCTTTTTATATCACCAATGTCCCTTGCTTGAATTATTTTCACACTAGAACTTAAAAAGTTTATGAAGTTTCTTTAACCTCACTCCTTGGAAGTTAAAAACAAAATCAATTCCAAGCACATTATAATAATTCATTGCTTGGAAGTTAAAAAGAAAAATGAGTTTTAAAAACATGAAGGGTAATATGTTGAATTGTCCCCGAACTCGTACATAACTATAAATTTATCCCTGAATTTTTTTAAGAAAACTAAGAACTATAATTAATTTTTATTATCAATGTTTCCCCTTCGTCTAAGTCGTCAAAGTTACATCTAAATTGCTGCTAAATACGAAAGAAAATTGGTCATTTTAAATGATAAAAATAATTAAATACTATAAAATAATATAATATAAAATAAAATAATCATTTTAATTAAAATTCGGACCAACAAACCTGCGACCCACAACCACTCATCCCCTACTTCCCCTTCTACCAGACAAACAACTTTTTCATGGGTTGGTGCAATTTTCATGGGTCTGTGCTAGGGAGAGGTGGTTTGGGGAAGGGGAACTAGGTTTCAAAGAACCCAAAATTTGAAGTTGGGTGTCGAGGTTTGTCGGAGATCTAGAGAGAAGGTGGCTATGGGGAGACTGGGTTGCGATGTGGGTAGGGTTCGTATCTAGGGCGGCGACGACGGAAGGGGGGAGGCGGGAGGAAGAGAAGGAGACAGGGGAGATAGGATGGGCAAAATAAATTATTTTTTTTTACCTTGTTCGCAGAGAGAGAGAGCTAGGGGATGGGGGATGGGGAGGACTTGTTCTGGGTCTGTGGGATGTGGTGCTGTCTGTGGTTATTGGGTGTGTAGAGTAAATTTTTAAGGTGGGATAATGTGTCTTGGTCGGAGCGTGAGAGACAGGGAGAGACCTAAGGTGACGGTGGCGTGTGGATGGTGGCGGTGAAGTGTGGATGATGGCGGGTGATATAGGGGTTGGCTCCAGGTGTGAAGGGGTTAGTACAGTTTTTTATTTTTATTTTCCTTGTGTTTTACGTTTTATATTATATTCATGTGTATTATTATTTTTAACTTTTTAATTTTCTAAATAAAATGTCAAAGGTAAATTAATAATTAAGTACAATTTCAAGGGACAATTCCCAGATTATCCAAACATTAATAATTATTGGTTGGCTGTTAAAAAAACAAAATGAATGTCAAACGCTTAAATAATTCTCAGGAAAACCAATCCATGTTTGACATAGTGTTTCATCGTGGGAAAAATTCATCAGAGAAGATACAGAACAGACAAAGCACTGCAACAATCTATCACAATATGAAATGAAAAGAACCTGTACTGAAGCAATATCTTGATAGAAGGATATTATGCAAGCTACTCCTATAAATGATACAGAGCGTTAACATCACGAGCTTGATAGTAAAGAGGACAGATGTACGAGTTCTTCTGACTACCCAAATTTTTCACATAAGATGAATGTTCTCTTCTACGTGATTTACAGATTTCCAATATGCATATAGCATTTTGCTAATGACCATTTGGTCCGAGTCTTCATTTTGTTGGAGAAAGTTTATGAGTTCAAATCTCAAAGATAACAGTTGATGAATGAAGTTTAAAAATGCATAATACAATGTTCTCTAAACTAAAGGTCAAAACCACTTTGTGTTGTAGCAATGGCCCTATAGGAGCCCACTTCGGAACTACCTGTCAAACCATGCATTGATATTATCCCCACCTTAATCACCTAAAACCAATATTTAGATTGGCCTAGATTTAATAGACCTCTAGGTGTGGGACTTTAACTTAAGGCGTCGGTGTAATTAGCAGTGGACCACCAATATTTGAACGTGTGTAGATTATTATTGTATTATGCAATGTGGGACTTAAACATCATGTCTTCTAATGAGCCACCTACACCAACAATCTCCACCTTGGCGATATCCAAGCCAAGGGTAACCCGCACTTTACAAACACTCATACCTTTCAAGGATGACATGGTCCTTGCAACTCCACCTCTCACCTCTTCCTACACAGATTTCTTGAGCCTCGCTAAGAGCCCTTGCTCACCCTAAGGCTAGGACTTATTATTTTTTCAAGCCCTGTGAGGAGCCCTTGCTCCACATAGTTAGCCGCCACTAGGATTTCATTGAGCCTCTAACTTTCCTCCACTAGACACCTTGCTCTACTAGCCCGCTCCACCTTTTCTCCGTCGATCTAGGAATTTGCTTGAGTCATCTCCTTGAACATGTTAATACCTCCACCTTGAACCAAGTGCGTTGTAACTAAATCAAGTTTTGATACCAGTTGCGTTCCTATTCTTCTAGTGAAATTTCTCATGGGGATCATCAGAGAGGATGTAGGCACATTGCCGAATCTTTATAAATTTTGTATTCTTGGTTTCTTTGTTTCCTTTGGTGTGTGCAATTTTCTTCGTGGTTGGTTTGCTTGTGTTTTTCTTCATAGTCCATTGATAACAAGCATTTTGGTGCGCACTAAAGTACAAGTGGTATTAAAGCTTGGATCTAAGGATGGCAATGGTTGTTTCGAGTATGGATTAAAAGATCACAAGAAAAAGAATTGTCATATATGGAAAGATAAGCGAGATAAGTTGAAAAATGTCGAAAGTTCAAGAGCAGCCAACATGTCTATTGGAGACACTAATGATGAACTTTGATGGTTACATATGAGGGTAATGGAGAAGCCATTGCAATTCCTTCAGATAAGAGTTCTACTTCAGTTTGGATTTTAGATTACGGGTGTTGTTTTCATATGTGTTCAGATAAAGATTGGTTTGATACATATGAGGAAAAGAAGGTTAGGAAAATTATGTTAGGAGACAAGGAGCAAGGAATTCAACATGGGGGATCTCGTTTCTGCACCGGAGATCTCAATGATCCAAGCTTAGTTCTGGGTGGAGCACCACCTCACCTGTGGTGCTTGAAGGCAAGTGATTCCTTGCCAAGGAAGAGCTCTTGGAATCCAAAAGGTTTAAGAGGTTATGGGGGTCAACAATTGTCCATGGTTGATTAATTGTTCGCCAAAAGTGAAGATTTTTTATTTATTTTTAATATTGGCTCACCATTGTGATGCGGAGGAGGAAAACATGGTAGCGATTGATTGACAAAGACAGAGGGCATCAACGATTTTCAAGAGGTGTGGTTATGTTGAACACATGGCCAAGTTAATCAAGGAATAGTTAGACAGGAGTGCATGTCGTCGCAGTAGCAAAGTCCAATCTGTATAAGTATGGGCCTCGACAAGTGCAAAGAGAACGGCGTGACAAGTGCAAATATGGGCTACTTTAGCCAAATTCTATCGTTTATGTTGACTTTTAGTGTTTAAAGTTTTTAGAATATTTTGGGAAACTTTTATTATTTTCTTTTTGTTTTCTATAAGTTTTCCTAGCAAGTCTAGGGTTTCTCATTAACTTTCCAAGCAAGTCTAAGGTTTCTCTTGTACAAAAGGAATTCGTTGGAGCATCTTGAATTATAAATCTTATTTTCAATCAATATATTTGATGTTTACTCAATTTCTCTAAGAGCATTGGCAGCAAGGGGCCCAAGGGGAGGGTTGGGGGGGGAACCCAAAATGTGGTTTCCAGCAACAAGGAGTTGCCAGGGCAAGCAGTGGGGCCCACATACCTGGGCTGGCCCGAGGGGGAGTGCCAGCCCGCAGGCTGTGCTGACATCATCACGCTGACGTCAGCGCTGGAGTTTAAATTTTTTAACGTTAAAAAAATTTGACGCGCCGCTACAGTGCCCGCCCAATAGCTCTCTTCCACGTGTCTTCTTTTGGCCCATCCGATCAGCTTTTTAAACATATCCAACGGCAACCATTTTTTCGCGAATAAAAAGATCGAAAAAGCAACCCCCCAATGGCTCTCTGCCATGTGGAAGCTTTTGGGCTCTTCGATCCTTTTTTTCCAGCAATCCAACGACAGGCAATTTTTTGTCCAATAAAAAAATGAAAAAAATTGGAAAAAATTTAAAGAAATACCAAAAAAATACTGAATTTTTTTTCTATAAATACCAACCAATACTCTTCACTTTTAACACCAACTCCTCATACATTTTCTTCTCCTTCTACTATTTTTCACTTTCTACTCAATTTTAGAGGGTGAAAATCTTATCTGAAATTTGAAATTCACATGAAATTTGACATTTTGAATTTATCTGAAATTTGAATTTTGAAATGTATCTTAAATTTGAAATTTATCTGAAATTTGAAACCGAAAATCTGATCCGATATGAATAGTATTGACACGTAGGAACCCAAAAATCTTATCCGAAAATATTATCCAAATTAATTGTTTAAGTAAACAAAGTTGTGAAAAAAACAAAAAAATTATAGTATTTGCCATGGCAAGCCTTACACTGCTGGAAACACAATTTTTTTTTGGTGCTAGGGCAGCCACTATTCACGTGAATAGTAGCTGTCCTAGGGCTCCCTTGCCATGGCAAGGGGCTAACCGGTGGAAGTGCTCTAATGAATCCCAATTTACGTCACTTGGTACTAGAGCAGGTTTTTGCCTGACTTGAAGTGCTCCAATGGCTCATCTAGAAGGAGAAGATAGGGCCTATGGAGACAATAGGGCCCATAGGGAAACAATCACTCGTGATGAATTCAATGCAACAATCGAGTTGATTTCTTCCCTAGAGCAGGAGTGTCAGCGACCATTGGTCAGTCCTGATATGGTCACAGATCGGTTTTGTCCAAAGAGGTCGATGTTTCAACAAGGCAGTCTTGTTTTTGGGGCGGCAAGTTGCCTCTTATTTTGAGCGACCTGTCGGTTTTCCCAACCCCACCTATAATGATGCAGTTTTTAACACATTTTAATAGGGTTTTGATTGGGCTTGGTTTCCTACTTCAAGTTAAATTCTAACCCAAGTTCTATAAGCTATAAGTAAGGCATCAAATTTGGGGTTGAGCAATGGCGTAAGTGTAATAGAGAGCCAGGGGCTACAGGGGGTCGCTCAGCTCGGATAGCTCTTACCTTACCAGAGACATCATCGTGGTTTCGGACCCCCCTGCTGCTGTGCATGATGTTTTGGTAGAGGATAATATGTAACTCTATGTTTTACTCTCAATGAAATCGCTTTCTCTCAAAAACAAAAAAAACAAAAAAAAAGTTGTTCTTTGTACTCAAGGCGATCACCGAAGAGGAGGCATGTTGTCGAACGTCTTAAATTCTTGTGCACTTGGTTTGTTTGTTTGCTTGCTTTGGTGTGTGTGCAATTTTCTTCGTGGTTGGTTTGCTTGTGTTTTTCGTTATAGTCCATTAATAATGTCTTGGCCAAGAATTATTTTCAATGGGGGTGTGCTAAAGTACAACGGTTTGAAAAGAGTTGATTTCCATTGAATGAATTTTCTTCATTCAAAAGAAAAGGAAAATAATTTGATCTACATGAATGCGGTAGTTTTTATTAGTCTATTGACAAATAAGTTCAAAATCGAGATGAAAGAGCTGGTTGAGAAAATACCTGTATCATCCCTTCCAAAGATAGCTATATTCTCGAACAATTTCCAGCTTTCATTAGCATTTAGTGGCCGAGATTCATGAAGAAAACCATTTTCATCTACATGCAATGCTACTTCTTTGTTGCGTGTCGTGAGCAATATGCAGCTCTTTGTTCTCTTGTTTACTGGAAATCCAGCTTTTATAGAGTTCCAGGTACCAGTGTTCCAAACATCGTCAAGGACCACCAAACAACACATATTTTCGAGGAGAGTATAGAGGAGTTCGGCTATTTCATCCTTCTTCTTTCTTTCAATTTCTTCTCTTTGCTCTTTGGTAGCAGCAGTTAGCTTAATTAAAACTTCTTCCAAAACAGCTCTTCCTTCATATTGTTGAGATACACACACCCACGCAAAAGAATCAAAATGACGCCTAACTTTATTGTGATGATAAACTTGTCTTGCAAGGGTCGTCTTTCCTGAACCGCCCATCCCCCAAATGGAAACTACTCGGTGAAATTGATCTTCTTCTTCTTTCAACAAATGTGTAGCCAATATCTGTACATCGCCTTCTATCCCAACAACATGGCGTTCACTGAAATGAGCATAGGTTAGCCTCTGATCATGTTGCCTCTCAACAGATGAAGAACTACCTTCACTCCCTGACCCGATTGCCTTGATATCATAACATTCCATTCTGGACCTCAACTTAGAAAGTTTGGTTGCAATCTTCTCAATTTCAGACCCAGTCTTATGAAGATAAAATCCTTCTCTCAAGATACAAGCACACCTTTTCAGGACTATTGTCATGCTTCCTTTCCTCTTGGAAGTCACTTTCAAGACAAAAGTCTCAATCACATCCTCCAAATCATAAGCAGCATCTCTAACAGTTGCAACCCAAACGCGTACCACTTCGTCTTCTCCTTGTTTGGCATCTGCATCTTTCAGGTAGCCCAGCATCAGTCGTAGCTCGGTTCGTGCAAGCTCAACTTGCTCTCCGACTCCACTTAAAAAGTTGGCTTCCTGAACGATGAAATCTCCAAGCGGCTTTAGGCCTTCAGTGACAATTGAAACAACAGCCTCAGCCATATTTCTGGTCTTCGCCAACAGTGAACAACTAATTACCTCTGCAGCTTTTTTCTCTTCTGTATCTTGAAGCAATGAAATGTTCTTCTGATCAGTGCTGGGAAAGTCAAGTTTCTTCTGCTTGTAAATGTTCCTTTCGCATATTTTATAATCATTTGCTGATCACTCTATATTCTCCACCTGTCTCTTCTTTTCATTTTCTTTGATAACACGTTTGTATTTATTATTAGCTGTAATGCACTATTGTCCCATATATGGAAGACTACAGCAGGGAGAGATAAGAAAAGAACACCTTAGAAAAAGACACCATGCAGATAAGATTGCACGGAGATATGGATAAGCCACGCCAACACTTCACATCTAACAGGGCAACTCCTCAATAATAGAAGACAAGTGAAATCACACCTAATTCGTGCTGCACACTTCATATGTTTTAAATCAATACGCGAATTTTATCATATTTAAATGAATATTCAATAAGGTAAATAATAAGAAAAAATTTAAATAACAAACTAAACTTTAGTTTAACAATATTTCTCTTCGTGTTTTTACAAAACCCCTTGAGTCCCTTAGGTCCCGTTCGGTAATGTTTTAAGGGGTTGTTTTCATTTTCAGAAAATAAAAATGAGGCAAAAACATGTTCGGTAGCCCAAAAACAGAAAACATTGAGAATGTTTTCATAAAATGAAAACAACTTCATGTGTACTTGTAGAAAACAGAAAAAAGTTGTTTTCATTCTCATGGGAAACATTTTCATAAAAAGAACTCACATATTATTATTTCAAATTATACTACTAGACACGTTTTCATTGTTTTTGTTTTCTGAAGATGTTTTCTAATTAGTCTACCAGACGCATTTTCATTTCCTGAAAATGCAAATTCGTTTTCTTGTTTTCATTCTCTGAAAATATTCTAAGAAAACATTCTCCGAAAACTTTACCAGACATGCCCTTAAAGTCTTAAATTGTTTTCACAAAACCTCTTTTGCATAATATTCCTTCAAAAATATGTTGATTTCATATAGATATTTCTTTTGTGTAGACGTTGGGCTCAAATGGTAATACTTTTTTCTTTTTTCAGTTTTCATTTTCTTGTTAAAAGATGGAAGGGGATGAGAGATAGAGATGAAGTAATGGAGAATAAATCTTAAAACAAAAAAGAAAATATATTAAGGCTTAAATGTCAAAAATAGTCCATGTGTTTTACCGTATTTGCCAATTTAGTCCATATATTTTTAATTTCTCTAATTTAGTCTCTATGTTTAGCATCGTTAGTCAATGTGGTCCAATCTATTAGATTCACCATTAAATAACATTATAGACAAAAAAAAAAAAAAAAAAAAAAAAAAAATTAAAAAAACTAATGGGAGAGTTACAAGCAGCTTTAACATTGTATGGTCATGTCCCAAGGAAAAACATTATCTGTTGTACTATTTTGATCTTTGTGTATGTGCAAAAGGCTATCTGGGAAATGCTATTAAGATATTTGCTGAAATGACTCAAAGAGGAAATGTGGCTAACTGGAATGCGATGATCACTGCGTTGACCCAGTTCAAAATCGCCCGGCTTCAGACCTGATAAAGGCACATTGATTTGTTAATTCAATTTTAAAATTGAAGTTTTAATATCTTAAATTAATTCAATTTTTTTAATTAGTTTCAAAATGGTTTTTTAAGGAACAAAAATATGTTTATAATGTTTATTTAACGGATTGGACCACATTGGCTACTAATGCTAAACACAAAAATTGGCCAAATTGGAAACACATACTACATTGGTCAAAACAGTAAAACACAAGGACCATTTTGACATTTAAGCAAAAGAGTAATGTAAGTGTTCTAGCGCCCGTTTATCATTGCTTATTTAGGATGATAAGTGATTTTTTAAAAATTTTGAAAAGCCCAGCCCGTTTAGTAAATTATGAGAAAATCTCTTATTGTTAAAACTTGTCGTGAAAAAATGCTATAAGGGGAAGCAGCTAACGAGGTGCTTTCATTTTCTGATTATGTGGGAATCAATTTTAAAAAGCCACTAGGTTTAATGAAATTTACAAACTTCCAAAAATACCCCCAATTTATTTCACCTTCTCTTCGTGCGTTTTCTCCTTCGCATCCATTTTCTTCTTCAAGCCATCTCTTTAACATAGTTCCCCTTCTCTTGAACCTCTTCTATTCTTCGTGTTATTTTTTCTTGTTGAATCAATTGAAGCACACTCCTGAGAAGCCAAGACTCACGTAAGAAGCAGATTATGTTTATTTCTTCTTAATTTCATTCTTCCCTTTTTCTCTTTAATTTCTAGGGTTTTAACTTCAATAGTTGTTGTTGTCCGTTTTTTTTTCGTTCCTATTTTTGTTTCTTTGACAGAATATTTATTATTAACGGAATATATTGGATACAAATATTCAATTTTCAACATAATACTTTATTTAATTTATAATTAAAATAATTTTTAGGGTGTGACAGAAACATATTTAATACAAATATATATAAGTGAAAGTGAAAGTGATTTCCCTTTTATCAAACACTTTAACAGAAAAGCTAAATGCCATTTTTAGTCATTATACACAGCTCACAGCGCTTTAACAACAACAACAAAAATTACAAAACACTTAGAAACTGATTATTGTACAAACAACATCTTAACAAACGGTTTACCAACACCAAACTGCTTTATTTCATAGCTGATTTCTCTCACAGCAAATCCAGTAGAGATTATTTTCATATTATATCAATGCCAAACTGGCCCTTAGTTTTTTATATGAAGTTTTATTCCATCTTTCTTTCTATTATTAATGTTTCTGATCTAGAATTAATTAAAAATAAAAATTGAAAGGCTCAAGCGTTATCAACAACCCTTTGTTCGTTTGTTCAAATCGTTGATCAGCTCCGTATATGCAAAATTCGCAAGTGTATGATAGATATGGTGTTTATTGCTATTTCTATTTTTTTAAAAAAAATTGGTGCTAAGTGTAATGTATTAAAAAATGTGTTGAAAATAGAGTGCAACTACTAGAGTAATAAAATTGATTTAAATTGCTTTTTTGATATTTATTATTTTCTAGTCTTTTGTTTATGAGATTTTAATTCTATTCGGAGATTTATTTCGTATTCTATTAGGATTTTCTTTTTTTCTTTTTTGTACAAATCTTGTGTTATTAGGAGTTTATTTGTTTTCTTGTATAACCCTACTAGGATTTACACACTTATTACCTCCTTTTGGAGAATGAAAAGATATTAGAAAATATTCTACCCCATATTGTTTGACTTGGCATAGCCGACTTTTGGTGACTTGTGGATTGTGCCCACCCGTGTTCTAGCCTCATATTCTTTCTACCAGTTTTGTGTGTGCCCTCTTGGGTTTGTGTATTGTGTTGTAGTGTTCGTGCCTCTATTGTGTCTGTGTCAATCCTGTCTTCATGCATCGATCATATTTGTGTCTCTGCTGTGTTCCATTGTGTACTATGTCATGATATGTTGAGTTTCTGCTATAATCATGAGTGATAACTCCATTGTTGGTGTTGTTGCTGCTGCTTTTACAAATTTGTGTGTTTTATACTCTATCCCAAGTATTGGCTTCCATACTTGGATAATTGACACTGGTGCTTTTGATTATATGACTTATTATGTTAAATTTTTTGATGAGTTGGTCTAGTAACACCCATGACCCATAACTAGTGCCAATGGCTTGCCCTTTCCAATTACTGGCAAGGGAACAATCTCCCTCACTCCTACAATGTTCTTATCTCGTGCTTTACTAGTTCCCACTATCCATTATAACTTGTTATCTATATTCAATTACTTGATACATTTAATGCTTATACTACTTTCTATCATACACATTACTTTTTTTAGGATCTCAAGACTCACGAGGTGATTGGCAATGTAAACGGATATGTCGCTATATTATTTGACATTGCATGATGCACTAGTTCATGATTGTGTCATTAATAATGTTCAAAGTTGTAGTGTCAAAGACAAACAACAAATTTGGTTATGGCATCGTCGCTTAGGACACCCATTGTTTGGCTACCTTAAGTTTATGTTTCCATCTTCATTCTGCTCTTGTGATGAGTCCAGTTTTTTAAGTGTGCTACATGTACTTTGGCAAAGAGCCATCAGATTGTGTTTCCTTTAAGTGATAGTAAAGCAGAAAAGCCTTTTGATATGGTGCATTTTGATGTCTGGGGTCCGGCTCACGTTACTTCGAACAGATTTCGTTGGTTCGTCACATTTATTGATGATTGTACCTGACTCACTTGGGTTTTATTACTGAAAATTAAACAAAATGTTGCTTCCATCCTTCTAGAGTTTTGTACTCTAGTATCTACTCAGTTTTAGGCTCGAGTCAAAGTATTCTGGATTGATAGTAGAGGAGAATATGTGAATAATATTTTTGCGTATGTCTTCCGTGCTCAAGTTATTATTCACTAAACGATAACCTTTTTTACCTCTCAATAAAATGGTGTGTCTAAAAGGAAGAACCGACAAATGCTTGAAGTTGCCCGCTAACTTATATTAGATATATATGTTCCTCCGCTAACTCATATTGTCTAAAAGGGTCGACAATATGAGGATAAGCAATCCTCCGTTCCTGTTGCCTCTGAAAAAAAGTGTCACCTCCACTCTCCCTTGTTTGGTGTAGGTTAAAACTTGGTATAATCGAACTCAGCTGTGAAATTTCGGTTGTAATTTTCTATATGTCTGAGCCAATCTGATGAAGATTAACTCCTTTTATGAAGATGCCAGTAAACCATGTCAAAATATTTGGTTTCCTCTTAAAAGCCACTTTTAAGACATAAGTTTCAATGACATCCTCAAGATCATAAGCAGAATCTCTGACACTTGCCACCCAAATGCGTATTGCTTCATTGAGTCCCTGGCTTGCGTCTGCATCTTTCAAGTAGCCTTGCATGAATTGTAGCTGGGTTTGTGCACTCTGAACCTTTCCACCCACGGATTTCAAGGATTTCAATTCCTGAATGATAGGGTTGCTGAGCCCTTCGAGCACTATTGAAACAACACCTTCGGCCATATTAGCAGCTTTTCTTTTTTCTTCTGTTTTTTGAGATTGAAAAAATAATCTTACCAATGGAGGTCTCAGTTCCGTTCCTACCCTGTCCCATAATTATTGTGATATTTCCCCAATCATGCCAGCTTTGAAAAGTATCCAATGCCAGCTTTGAAAAGTAGCAGAAATGCTCACCTGAGGACCAAATTTTGAGGGACTGTGAGCGGCAAACACATATCACCCGTTGGATTAATCCAACGGATTGTAGTCTTAGTAACTAAAAGTGAGACCCATAAAGACTTTCCAACCCGCTTCTGTAACCCGCAATATCCAACTCCAGTCTCTCTAATCTCTTTCCCATCATTGACTCCAACAAGAGACTATGCAGATTGATCTTCAACCCAAGCAGTGCATCCAAAATCAATATTTCTTTGCCCCCAACAAAAGAAAAAAGAAAAATCAATATTTGAAATAGACCTAGAATATTCCATGTCACCCAGCAATTTGATGAACTGTTGAAGGAAACCAATCATGCAATGCAAACAATTGCTTTGCTTGGACTATTTTATTTGCATGGGATGCTTCCTTTTGTTCTGCTTCCATTGAAAGCGAAAATTGAGTGATTTTAGTAAAGATCAGCAAGGGTGACCGTTCCACCTTTATCACAATATAAAAATACAGGGTAGGAAATTTTGACAGCATGCAATAGAAATAGAAATAGTAATATAAATGATATTTTATTATAAATCAGTAAAGGTTACAGAAAAAGAGTTATTCTTTATCTCTTTCAGCCGAAAGCAGCCCATATAACGATAGTTTTTTATTTTAAAAGAAAGCTTGGTGTAATTATCACTTCACGTGATGGATACTATAAAGCCTTAATAATAATAATGCAATAAAATCACTATTTTCACCAAAGTGAAACCCCATATCAGGAGGGAGGTAACTTGGAGGAAATAACAAAAAATGCTTGCGACTAAAGCGCGATAGAATATGCTTTTTCTTTCAGTCAAAAAGTGGTAGCATGCTTTTGCCTATTAATTAATTCACGCGCCAAACATAATAACAATATCATAATATGCATGTAGGTGCGTTTTCTCAGGAACAAAAGCAGCAAGGCCTTCGAAGAATTTTCAGCAGCGCATGCCGCGCTTGCAGTGAATTCAAGTAGCCGATGAGCCTGAGGTGTTGTTGAGGGCTGACATATCCGAGTCCCCTGGTCCTTTTCTATGTGGCCCAGCAAGATTGAAGTGGAGGAAGCAAGTTATTTTGGGTTTCTTCTTCTTATTATTTATGGGTTTCTTCTCCTTACATTTAAATTTTTACTCAAAATTTAAATTTAAAATAAGTTGTCATATGAGATAGAGTTGACCTGGTATTATTAACTAAATTACATTATATACCACCTATCTCCATATTTTATTTTCAAGTATGTCATTAACTACCTTAATTATAAGTAATACTCCCTATTAATACCATATCAATCACCCCATTCATTTTGGTTGGCATTCCCTTTACACATCGCCAATCCCCACAAACAAACAAAATCCCTAAATTAAAGACAAAAGAAGGATCCGTTACTTTGTAATTGAAATTTCTGTAAATGTTTTTATAAATTAAAAATAGGTTCATTATTATTTTTTATATAAAAAAGAAGGTTTTTTTGGGTGGTGATTTTCCCACTCTCTTTTTATCCATCTACACTTCCTTTTGTTTTTTTAGAACTTTTTACTCTAAGATAAAAGGGAGTTTAAGTGAATAAAAGAGGAGTGAGAACATACAATTTTAAAAAAATGGAGTGTAAGTGGATAAAAAGGGCGTGAGAAAATCAGTACCTTTTTTTTGGGGTCAAAAAATAGTTATGTAATTGAAATTTCTGCACATCTTTCATAATTTAAAAATAGGTATGTTATAGGTACACAGAATAGAGGTGTCAAATGGGACAAGCCCGCCCAGCACAACACAAGCCCAACCCGTTTAAATGAGGCACAACACAAGTACGAATATTAATGGGCCATGCTCAGCAAGACTCGAAAAACTTGGGCCAGACTAGAATAAAAAATTAGGTCCAATAGATTGGGCCGACCCATGACCCAACATGGGCAGAACTTGGCCCGAGCCCACTTCAAGCACGGCTCAAGCCTAGCCCACTTTACCTAGCAAGATTGAAGTCATGGAAAGCAAACTTTTACATCTCTTTTACACCTCCGGGAGATGCAAATGTCATATTTGCTCCAATAAGTTGGATGTAAATTTGATTTTTTTTTGTATTAATTCATTTTTTGTGTGAATTTTTTTTATGTTAAATTTTTTGTATTGATTTTGTGTGTGTTAGGTTAATTATTTTTTCTAAACAAATCGACCTAAAAAATTTAAAATTTTGATAATATATAATTTCATTCAATATGATGTAAATAAAATTAATCTGAGACTTTGATATGAATTTATTCTTGACCATTAATCAGTGTAGTTGTTAGTTTCATATTTCAATTTGAATGAAATCTGGCCATACATTAAATCATTTGTATCATTTTGTATCATTTTAATAACTTCCTCATTTTAATAAATCTTAGCCACGCCCTTGGCCCACCATTTTAATACCCTTATCATCTTTTAGGCTCATTTCCTCTCTCCTCTCTCCTGGCTTTTCTATTACGTAACCCACTTGGTTGGGTGTAAAATTAAATGTACGTTTGCATCTTTTTTCCCATCTCACAGTTATGATGTACATTTACAGCCGTATACACCTCCCAATTGCAGGACATTCCAGCAACCAAATGTGTATATTTGACATACACCTCCATATACACCTTACTACTATGGATGCTCTTACTTTTAAATTTTTACTGAAAACTCAAATTTAAATAGGTTGCTATGTGAAATAGAGTTGTCCTAATATTATTAACCAAAGGGGAATGCTAGCAACCACAAGGTGTAGTGTGGTTGGCAAACTGCCACCACTAGCTGGTGAGCTATCTGGTGCCTCAATAGTAAAGGTTCGAAATCTGTTGGAAGCATTTTGTGGCCAGGAGCAAGCTAAACCCCAAATGGGGATTAATCCAGCCCTTCGGATGTGGAGACACCTCTTGGTTTCTACCAAAAATAGGGAAATGCTAGCAACCTTCTCTCTAACATTCTCTTTTTGACTTTCTCCCTTCTCCTCATGACATCTGTCACTTTCTCTACACTTAAAACAATGTCATCAATACATTAGACAATGTCCTTCTTGCTAGATGTAGTGAGCCAAAAGTTGGTTCTCCACAATAGAGAACCAAGTAGGGAGTCTACTGCAATTAAGATTTTCCTTTTTTTTAGCCAAATTGAAAACATATGATTTAAATTAACCAATATGTTAAAACACAAGGACCATTTTTACGTTTAAGCCTATTTTTATAATGATTGTTCTATTTTTAAAATACTCTTAAAAATGGAAAGACTAAAATACCCTTAAAATGTATGAAAAATCAGATGGTGTTAAAGTCAGATGACAAATTATAAATTTTGAAAAATTAAGATGACAAATTGAAACAAAGATATAAATTCAGGTGATATTTATAGAAATATCCCTCCTAAAAATGCAAGAAGTGGAACTCTACCACATTTGACAATCTTTTTGCCATATAACATTACCCACCGATTACCCGGTTAGGCCCCAAACCACAACTCCTAGCCGTTGGATCAATTTAAAAATAAAATCCAATTGTAAAATTGTCATATGCACCAACCGAAGAAAAATCAGAAACTACAGAATTCCCCATTTTTTTTCTTTTTGGTACATTTTAGTCCTCTTTTTATTTATTTATTTATTTATTTATGTGGCTGGTCACCTAGCCCAAAGCCTAGCAAAGCAGCCGTCTTGAAAAGCTTTTGTCGGGGTTTTGGGTCTATCAATCGAGATCGAACCCAATGCCGAGACCAAATTGTTCATCGTTAGAGTTTATAGAAATGAAATTCAAAATGCATTGAAATCTCAGGTTTGTTCTTTTTCTTTCTTTGGAATATAATTCAGTTTCTACTGAATCAAATTCCTGGTTGTTCTCTAAATTTTCAAGTCCATGGAAGCACAAACCTCCCCGAAACTGAAAAATTAAGGTGACAGTTTTGGGATGCCATGGCTGGACTTATTTGAAATATGCAATCTTTCCCAGTCTGTTGTATTTATAGTTTTGGTCGCATTCTTTTCAGGAAGCTGAGAAGCATCTGTCAGATACGGTTGTGTCCAAGGCACTGATGGCCAAGGCCAATAGGAATAGTCTGTTTTCAAACTGCAAAGGATAGCAACAATGTTCTTAATTCGTGGGCTACGAACTTGGAGAAATTGCTTGATCTTGTTGAGAAGAGCTGCCACCAAATACACAAAGAAACCATGGTTCACAAGGTTGCTCTCAACGTTTGAGAAACACAAATTTCAGGTATAGATCTTCTGTGAGCAGCATGCTTATTTATGTACTTTTTCGAAATTCAAATGGAAAATCAAATAAAATGTCATTTCCAATGATGACCGTTAACCATGATTGCAGGTAAGCCACACCTAATCTTTTATTTCGCGTATTAAAGAGTTCTTTGATTCAAGCATTTGGATTAAACATGTGTTTCACTGGGTTGACGAGGCATATGTATCAATTTATTTCTTTTGCTAGTGTTATGCTTCTTGAAACTAAATTGAAGATTGTTGTATGCTACCGGCACATCCCTTGCTAGTAGGTAACCCAAGGAAAATTTGATCGGCTTAATTTGTTTCTGGCACTGGAAAGAAATTTACTGCTTCACTTGTTAATTATGTTCTTTGGTCTTTAAGATACCTTGTGTGTTCCACATGGTTACTGCCTAATTATTTCTGTAGCTTGTGCTTTCAATTGCCATATTATTACAACCCTGTCCTAACCCGTTCATGCGTTGTCAAAATCCAATTTCTACATTTTGTGTTGTCAAAACCTAATTATATGTTTCTTTTGTGTACACGTTGGGTTAAAAGTAGTAATATTTTTGTATCTTTATTTTCAGTTTCATTTTCTTGTTAAAAGATGGAAGGATTAAATTTATTTGGTATTCTGAGAAAGATGATACATTAGGGAGAATGAATGCAAAATTGAAAGGCCCAAGTGTTATCAACAAATGGTTGATTGCCTTTGTATAATGGATAGATCATACGTGTATAGTGTTAATGTACTCGAAAATGTGTTGGAAAGAGCATATTTATTCCAAGAAATGTAGCATACAAACAGCGTACTCGAAAATGAACAAGACATGCATTGGAAATAGCATACGAGTAATCCCAATTTAACGTAATAAGAGGCTCTTGTTATAACATTTCTTGGAACAAATATGCTACTTTGCTCAAAGAATAGCAAGCCGCATACAAATCAAAGTCACAAGTAAAAATGGTAAAAGAAAATGTAAAATTCAGAGAGAAGTGAGTTGCTGCGGCCCTTGAATTGATTGCCAGTTAAATGATAGCAGGCATTCGCATACCATCCACCGCAGATTCCCCAGAGGCATCCTTGCCGATTGACCAATGACCATAAACTAAAATAAAATAGAAATAACACCAGTTTAGATATTATAAATGTGTGCTGCTGCTGACTAGTTCAATTATTTACTCATTAAAAAGAAACAGACTTGTCACCTAATTTGACGAGATTACATACTTACTACATTGACGAGCTGGGCCCACAATTCTTTTTCCCCTTCAAATGAAAAGAGGAGAGAAACAATTAGTTCTTTTTTCCTTGAAAAATAAGAAAAAAAACAACAACAAAAAAAAACAAAAACAAAAAACAAAAACAAAAACAGAGAAAAAATTTAGCGTACCATTTTATATAAAACCTCATTAATCATATGAAATTATAACAGACTGCACATGTTGGATTTTGTAAAAATCTTCTCCTCCTTCTCGAAGCCGGCTACAGAATTCAGGAAGCATCGATTTGATGGTTAATTCCTTGAGGGAAGTAATATATTGGAGCCCATCAGGAACTGCCTCCAAAACTAAGCAATGATCAATATGCAATCTGCAGAGACTAGGCATGGCTCCTTTCTCCACCTTCCATTCTTTTAACTCCACCAAATGAAGAGAAAGAAATTCAAGAAATGGAAAGCCTCCCTTGGAGCAAACAAGAAATTCCGGAAAATTCCCGCAACTAGCAAAAAGCATTCTCAAGCTTGGCAACTTCTCAAATACTTTTATGTGGTCGTCCTTGAGATTACCAAATTCTCTCAGTGTAAGCTTGGTGAGGTTCGTAAGGCACATGAGGGCTTCTGGTAACTCAGAGATTTCTCCGCGTAGTCGTAGCTTGTATATATTAGGACAGCTTAATACTATGTTCCATGGTATTGGTAAAAACGTGGACGTACCAGAGAACCATCCACCAGATAACAATGTGGAGTCCACCGATAGAGATTGGAGGTGCTTAAATATGATGTTTGTCCCTTTCTCCTTTTTTTCCCCTCCGTCAAATGTGATAACTCCCAATTTTCTAAGGTTGGTTAGTTTAACAAAATCATCTAGATCAGATGCCTGAATATAAATATTGACAACCGTGTGCAAAGTCACTGCCTCAGTAGCAAATAACAGACGTCCTGCACTGTGATATTTGGGTAAATATATATGTCTCAATTTTTCCATCTTGGAAAACACGTTTCCATTTGGAACTTCAGTCCCCCACATGGTACGTAAATCTAGAGTCTGCAAACATACCATAGTTGCTATAGATGATGGTATCGCTCGAATATCACTATCCTTCACACTTAAAAACCTTAAGTGCACTAGATTCCCAATTTCACCTGGTAATTTGTGCTTTCCAACACTCATACCTTCAAACTTCAGAACTCTAAGTAATGTGAAGTTCTTGAATAGAGACCTAACACTCAGACCTTCAAACTTCAGAACTCCAAATAATGTGAAGTACTTGAATAGTGACCATAATGCATTTGAGTTCATGAAGTAGTATTCTGGGACAAAGTATAACAAAGACCTAATATGTCCATAATTTTCATCTTTCTCTGGACCATATGTATCAACCGTTTTGTCCAAATAGATGGCAAGTCTTCGAACTCTACCGTTTGGTGTTTCATTGGTCTCCACAGTTGCAGAATAATTGATAATATGGAGAAAGTTCCCTTCTTTTGCCTTTAACATGCATAAGTCTCGCATAAGATCATGGAGATGACAAGTCTTGATTTTCTTTCTTGAACCATGTTTTCCAACTTGAACCATACACCTGCCCACCAACTCACTTAAGCACATATATGATACATCTTCCATTACTTCCGCTAATGCTGATGATATAAAACCTTCTGCCATCCATAGTTTAGTCAGTGTACCCACTGGTATTTCATAATCTTCCGGAAAATGGGCTAAGTAGAGAAAACATAGTTTTAAGTAATATGGTAAGTTATCGTAACTCAATTCCAATAACCATGATACCCCTTCATATCCTTCACCTTTGTAATCGGGCCCAAGATCTGTGCCTCTCCTTATATGCATAAACATTCTTATGGACAGTATTCCACTCATCAACTGTGTCTTTTCTAGCTAGCAGTCCTGCAAGCACCGTAATGGCTAATGGCAAACCTTTGCAATGTTGAAGCATCTCTGTTCCTAGCTCTTTCTTTTGTTCATAAATTTTATGGTCTGAGGAACAATATTAAGACCAGATTAATTAACCTCACATGTTCAATTGTACGAAAAGTATACAAAACAAATTATGCTAGTCTATCATTCCCTTGTTTAAATTATTTTCACTCTAGAACACACACACACACACACACATATATGTGTTTCTGATTTTTCTTTTGGCTACAACTGTATGACTCGTTTATTTTATTGAAGAATGTCGTACCCCGAGTCTGGGGTACATGGTAAATTCTCGAAACCAGGATCTGATAATTAAAATAAAGTAAATACCATTAGATGAAATTAGTTTCTTATAGAAATCTCTACCAATAAAATGTATAAACATGAACTACAGAGTTTCTTATAGAAATATAAAGATATCTATTAGAAAACAATATATAATTGGAACTAAATCAGTTTGTTAAAAAACGAAAAAGAAAAATAGCTATAAACCCAAAATGTCAAGTATTCATTGGGAAAAATTTATTTAGAATCAATTTAGACCCATTTTACCCGCAATAATACTCTTGGTTATCTCTTCTTACCAAATTTAAAATAAAATACATAAAAAACTTTATCCATTTTTTATATGAATTAATGACATATAACTTACATAATTTATCTCACAATAACCGTTTCCTTTTTTGGTTCCAACTTTGAATTTAAAATAAAATAAATAAAATAATTTATTCATTTTCTACAAATATTAATTTTGTCAACGCCATATTATTCTAGGTATGCCTAATTAATTAAGTAAAAATCGAAATAGTAAATGAGAAAATCATGCCATATTATTCTTTTAGTCAAAGTCTCATTATTTTTCTTCTTCTTCTTCTTTCTCAACACCAAAACCCTCTATGGATATGGCTCTTCTTCTTCACTCCATGGATATGGATACATTGATTATGAGAGTTATTTGTGTTTGTTGTCTATAGGTTATAGAGTGGTATGTGATTACTAATCTACATAAGCCATCTAATTGATGATGAGTCCTAACCTACCTCTTACATGGATTCACTTTGATTATTGTGGGAGCATATATTTTCGTCTCCAATCATAGCGCGCCACGTGGAAAAGAAGATTATCTCTTTTAATTAATTAATTGAACCAGTATATGGCCAATTAATTAATTAGGATAAATATCTTAATTAAATGATATTATCTTTATTTAATAAGATAATATCATTAATTAAGATATTATCCTAATAAAGAGAAGATAATGTCATTATCTCAGATATTATCTTCATAAAAAGAGATAATATCATTTAATTAAGATATTATCTCTATAAAAAGAGATAATATCATTAAATCATATATTATCTCAGTCCGACTCGATCCCTAAGAATTTGGGTAGAGAATAAACTCAGAATATTCTCTACGAAACCCTAGCCCCGAGGCTCCTATAAATAGATGACTTCATTCATCATTCAAGGTACATCTAAACCTACTCCTTATACCCGAGAAAAATACCCGAAGCTCTTTCTCCCTCTCTACTCTCCATATTTTCTCCACACGGCTCCGGCCACCACACACGGCTCCGGCCGCCCGGTTCACACCCTACATAAACACTACTCCGTACCCTTTGCTTAGCTATTGTTTTTCTACAAACACTCGAACTAACTTAGGCATCGGAGGGCCTTTGGCCAACACCCCCCGGGTGTGGTCTATTTACTCCAATCTGTTTTATAGGAATCGAGGAGGAGAGAGAAGGAAGATCGAATGTTGAAGGATCTAGAAGCGAATATTCTCCCGTGAGATTATTTGCACAAACAATTATGTTTGCTGCAACAGTAGGTAGTAGTTGTCTAATACAAAGGTAATGTTTGGTGTTTGATTATTTTCGTTATCGTTGGATTCTTTGACTTTGTTGATTATACATGTTTGTATATAAATTTTGTTTTTGTTTTTTTTTTCAATCTATGGTTGTTAGTTTTATATTTTCACCCTATATTTTAGGTGTATTATGTGCTAAGTTTTTCACCTTGATTGGTATGTTATATGGGTACCTAAGTGGAAGGTGTTTATCTACCTATCAAATAGGTTCGAGTGTCGTAGGCTACCTAACAAAGGGGAACATGATTTATTATAGTTTTCTGCATATATGTAGGTATACTAATTTTTGTTTTATTGTTAAGGTAACACAATTTTCTATTTCTGCTCATTCCTTTTTGTTTCATTTATGCACGTGCGTTCTTCATTTTGACCTTTTGTTTAGGTATATTATATGTATCTTAAGTGTATTATAAATGCATTATAATTTTTATTTTATTTAGTGTACATGTTTTTATGAATTTTTTATAGCGATAAACGTTCAAAAGTCAAATTCAAGATTTAAGAGTAACAATGCCTTAAATCAAGGGGTTATAATATGTTTCCATTATTTACCTTAAATGGCATAATAGTCATAAAAATAAGTATTAAATTTAAGGGAGATTCACTATTATACCCAATATAGGGGCCCAAATTATAAAAATACCCCATATGAAATTGACTTTATAAACACACCCAAAGCCCATTTACAACATAACAAATAGGCTTTTAACTTCTTATAAATTACAAAACTGCCATCAATTTCTTAAAACAAGCCCAACTCCAAAATCTCATAAAAATACCCAAAACACTCAATAGGCATCAAAGTAATTTAATAATCAATATTAAATTCAATAAGGACAGCTGTCATTTTTTGGATTTTTTTTGGGTTTGTTTATAGAAATTCAATTGTGTAGGGTTTATTTATAGAAATTCAATTAGTGCTAAGAATAGGTATATCACTAAATATCTTGAGTCTCGATTGAATAAGTGTAATAAAAGGAACTTTTTTCAACATTTTTAGCATGAAATGAGTCTTTAATAAAAGACCCCCAAAAAACTTGTAAGTAAATTTAGGTTTTAGCCATAAAAAAATTTTCATTTTTGGAAAAAGCCAAAGCTTTTTTAAAAAAGACAGAAAAACCTCTCAACTTTCAAATCAAAGACATGCAAGTGTAAATGATTTCTTAGGAAATACAAAAGTAAATAAGGGCAAATTTGTCTATTTTGGCTTCTTTTATAAAATTTCTCTCTCCTTTGGGTTTTTCCAAAGTCTCCCAAAATTGTATTAGTGCAGAGGGATTAGCTAGGGTAGAACCTATGATCACATGCAAAGGGTGCGCTTGAAAACAAGCTTCTACTATAGTTTTCTATGGGTATGAATATCGATGCATAGAGTCGATCGCTGCTTATATTTCAGTTGTTTGAAGAAGACAATTGAGAATTTATTGTTAAGTACAAGTTCTTTTATTGAAGAAAAGTAATTTCTATAGTATAGATTTTAAGGAGTATATTTCCGGAAAATAAAAATTGTGATAATAAAACTACTATCTTCATGTAGAGGCCTTGTGATTTCAATAGATTTATAGGGGAAAAGTTTTGAATATCTTATGGCAGAATTTCTTGACGTTGTTAGAGTGGACAAAAGGTTAGTTGACACTTTGAAATTGATATAAATTTAAGAGTGAGCTTTTGGAAAAAGAAAAATGCAGTGCAAAATGGAATCATACAATTTCTATAGAGTGATGCTTATTTATCACCCTTCTTATCCTTCCTCTCCCCCTCCCCCCCCCCCCCCCCCCCCCCCCAAACTCCCCCTCTCCTTAGCGGGTTGCGTGACCTTAGAAGTCATTTTACACATGGGCAAATTTGTCTTAAATTTTTGAAAATAAGGTGGGTGGGGAAATAGGACAGGTGGGTGGAAATAGTAGCACTCTTTCTATAATACTGAATTGATAAACAAGAAAAGTAGAGATAAAAGGTTTGTGTGAGAACATACTTGTATCTTCTGTTTCAAACATTGCTCTCTTCTCAAACAATTCCCAGCTTTCATCATCATTCAATGGCTGTGGTTCGAAGAGGAAACCATTTTTGTCCACATACGAAGCGACTTCTTTGTTGCGAGTAGTGAGTAAAATTCGACTCTCAGTTTCCTCAGTCATTGGAAATCCAACTTCCAACGACCTCCACGCATCATGGGTCCAAATGTCATCAAGCACCACCAAACATTTTCTTTCTCTTTGCGTAATCCAAAGCCTCTCTGCTATTTGATCCTTCCCCAGATCTGCAATTTCTTGTCTTTGCTCATTGGTAGGAGAAATGAGTTTTGTCATAATTTCTTTCAAAACCTCCCGTCCCTGACATTGTTGAGAGATACACACCCAGGCAAAACAATCGAAATGACGCTTAACTTTACCATGATGATATACTTGTTTTGCAAGAGTGGTTTTACCCAACCCGCCCATCCCCCAAATAGAAACAACTCGAGGGCCTTTTTCTTTGATCAAATGCGTAGCCAATATCTCCGTTCCACCGGCTAACCCAACAACATGAGGTTCGATAATATGAGGATAAGCTATCCTCCGTTCTTGTTGCCTCTGAAAAGAAGTGTCACCTCCACTCTCCCTTAGGTCACCTGGCAAGCTCGATCTCAACTCTGAAATTTTGGTAGTAATTTTCTTGATTTCTGAGCCAATTTTGTAAAGATAAACTCCTCCTACGCAGATGTAAGCAAACCTTTTCAAAAGACTTGCATTTCTCTTGGAAGCCACTTTTAAGACAAAAGTTTCGATGGCGTCGTCCAGATCATAAGCCGCTTCTCTAATATTTGCCACCCAAATGCGTATTGCTTCACTTTCTCCTTGTCTTGAATCTGCATCTTTGAGGTAGCCTCGCATCAATTGTAGCTGGATTTTTGCAAGCTTCACCTGATCTCTCACTCCACCCAAGAATTTCAATTCCTGAATGGTAGAGTCAGTGAGCCGTTCCAGCACAAAGGAAACAACCGCATCGGCCATATTTCTGGATTCAAACGAAAACAGCTGAAACAGCTTTTCTTTTTCTTCTGTTTTTTAGATTACTTAATGAAATAATCTTACCAATGGAGAAGTCTCAGTTCCGTTTATATAGGAAGTGCCATCAACCAAGTCGCTGCCCTGTCGCATATTTAATTATTCTTATCTTTCCACCTATCAATAGTATAACAAATATATGGGGAAGTAAGGAATAGGGATGGGATATCAACAAACTAAGAAGGAATTAATCATGGAATTTAGGAATGGGAGAAGCACACACATAATAGGGATGGAATATCAATAGACTAATAGGGAATCAAGCAATGTAAATGGGGGAAGTAAGAATCAAGGAATTTTAGTTATGGCGGAAGTAAAGAATCAAGGAATTTAGGAATGGGGGAATTGAAGAATTAATCAAAGAATTTAGGCAAGTAAGAAATCAATGAATTTAGGAATGGGAAAGTAGGAATAGGAGTGGGATATCAACAAACTAGTAAGGAATTAATCAAGGAATTTAGGAATGGGGAAGTAAGGAATATGAATTTATCCCATATGCCTAATATTGCAACAGACTGACTGGTTTCATCACTTTGATTTGCCCATTTGTGAACAAATATGTGACTTTTTCTAAAAGAATTAATAGCCACATACAATTAAACTTTACAAGTAAAAATGGCCGGAAAAGAAATTAAGAAAGCTTGCGATATGTGAAATTAATAAATTAGAGGTGTAGAGTCATGGCATGTGAAAGATGTTTGCGATTAGTCTTGAGGGAAACATCTATTGTTGCAAGCGATGCAAAACCCCATCTTGCTCTTGTTGATGACATACTTTCTAAGTCGTTTCAATGCAGACATGGAAAGGCTTATCTTTTTGACAAAGTTGTAAATGTCACACTTGGAGAGAATGATAACAGGACTACATATTGTTGCTGACATATCTTGTGTTTCATGTGGCTTAACGGTGGGGTGGAAATATGAGGCTGCACAGGAGAAAAGCCAGAAATACAAGGAACGGAAATTTATCCTAGACAGATTCCATATTCTTGGTCCTGATGGAAGCAACTACTCTATAAATCTGAAAGCTCAGATTGGTGGAAGAGATGCTGTTGATGCTTGATTGATCAAACATTAATTCAGGAAATTGCACTTAGTTAAAATGTATGTTATTTGCTACGTTTTTCTTAATCGATTATGTAGGATCCTAGGTTCTTTCTATTGTCATCTAATGCAAATTGTTTTAGAACCTGGACAAATAAGTTATTAAAGAAAAACAAAAGTTGTCTTCTTCAGTTAACGCTTGAAAACGCAGGTGGAGAAGATGGCTCTTTGGCTTAGAAATGAAATCAAGTTTTCTTGGATTGCTGGAGATGTTTCTGTTGTATATGTATGAATGTATCATTTTATTTCATCTCCCAAAAAAAAACACAATAGGAATCAACATAACTTATCTGCTCCAATTTCTGTAAGAAAATAATTGCTCAAATAAATAAATTATAAATATTACCAATGCAGTTAATTTACAAAGATGAAACACTTAAATTTGGCTCCACTCACTTAGTTTTGAGGGCATTTAAGTCTATTTAGGTGAGTTTTTGGATATATTAGTGTTAATGTACTCGAAAAATGTGTTGGAAATAGAGTGCAACTACTAGAGTAATCCCAATTCAAAAGTGATTTAACATAATAAGAGGCTCTTGTTATAACATTTGGAACAAATATGCATACAATCGAAGTTGCAAGTAAAAATGGCAAAAGAAGTGAGTTGTTGGGCCTTTTAATTGATTGCCAGGAAAATGATAGCCCAATGACCAATGATCATATACTAACTCATAAAGAAACAATTTGACGAGCTACGCCCACAATTCCTTTTCCCTTCAGGTGATTTAGTTCTTTTTCCCTTGAAAAATAAATAAGAGAAAAAAAACACAAAGAAAAAATTTAGCGTACCATTTTATCCAAAACCTCAGTAAGGATGTAAAATTATAACTGACTGCACATTTCTAAGGTGTGTTAGTTTAACAAAATCATCTAGATCAGATGGTTGAATAAAAATATTGACTACCGTGTGCAAATTGACTGCCTTAGGAGCAAATAACAGACGTTTATCTCTTACACTGTAATATGGGGGTAAATGTCTCAATTTTTCCATCTTAGAAAACACGTTTCCATTTGGAATTGTAAAAACCCAATAACTGCTACGTAAATCTAGTCTGCAAACATACCACATTTGATATAGATGATGGCACCGCTGAAATCGAACTATTCTTTACACTTAAAAACCTTAAGTGCACTAGATTCTTAATTTTACATGGTAACTGCGCTTTTTAGCACGCATACCTTCAGACTTCAAAACTCTAAGCAATGTGAAGTTCTTTAAAGTGACCATAATAAGTTTTTAGTCACCTTTGAGTCCAAGTTCCAAAATTCTGGGACAAAGTATAATAAATACCTAACATGTCCATCTCTTTCATCTCTCCCCGGACAACATGCCTCAACTGTTTCATCCAAATAGATGGCAAGTCTTCGAACTCTACCGTTTGGTGTTTCTTTGATCTCCACAGCTATAGAATAATTGATAATATGGACAAAGTTCTTCTCTTTTGCCTTTAACATGCATAAGTCTCACATAAGATTATGGAGATGACAAGTCTTTATCTTCTTACTTGAACCGTGCACCTACCCACTAATTCACTTAAGCACCTGTATGATACATCTTCCATTTCTTTCGCTGATGTGAATGATATAAAATCTTCTGTCATTCATAGTTTAGTCAATACACTCATCGGTATTTTATAATCTTCTGGAAAATGGGCTAAGTGCAAAAAGCGTAATTTTAAGTGATATGATAAATTGTTGTAACTCAATTCCAACCACCATGATACCCCTTCATATGCTTCACCTATGGAATTGGGCCCAAGGTTTGTCCCTCTTCTTATATATGCATCAATATTCTTATGCACCGCAGTCCATTTTTCAACTGTGTCTTTTCTATCCAGAAGTCCTGCAAGTAACTGTGTCTTCCTCCTGGAAGCCACTTCTAATACAAAAGTTTCGATGGCATCGTCCAAATCATAAGCGGCATCTCTAATACTTGCGACCCAAATGCGTACCACATTGTCTCCTTGTCTTGAATCTGCATATTTGAGGTAGCCTTGCATCAATTGTAACTGGGATTGTGCAATCTCAACCTGATCGCTCACTCCATCCAAGAATTTCAATTCATCATGACAGAGTCTGTGAGTCGTTCGAGCACAATTGAAACAACAGCATCGGCCATATTTCTTTTCTTGAAACGTAAACAACTAAGGCAGGCTTTTGTGTTTCTTCTTCTTCTTCTGCCTTTTTGATTAATGAAATAATATATAAGAAGTTGAGCAAATTAAAGTGAACCAATTGTGTATATAGGAATCACAAATTGCAATATCCACCAGTTCTCCAAGCTGCATTATCAAACGGGGATTAAGTATTAATATTATTCAAAATTGAATATTTGTGTAATCACTAGCTGTCAAAATCCCACACCCACCGTCGTCATTCAGGGCCAATTAACAAGCACATGAACAATTGTCAACTCTTAAAATGATTTACCATAACCCTATCCTTTAAGTAAAAGCCACTGTTAGTCGTGACATCAATTCAAAACCTTTATCAGATTTAGCAGTTTGTTTTTTTGCGTAATCACTAGCTGTGAAAGTCCCACTTGTTCTACCAACAATCATTCAGGGTCCATCAACAAACACATGAGGAATGCGCAAGTTGTATAATTTATATATTTCGTACGTAACCACTCTATATATGTATTTGTTTTTGTAAGTATGTTATTAGACTTACCAAGTAGTCTTTCTCTAGTATTCTAATATAAATTTAATTAGAGCTATGTGTGATCAAAGATATGTATTTTTTATTGCATGTATTTAACTATAATTCTTTCTTTGCATATTTGCAATGAATCATCCTCTTTACAGTACTACAATTGTCATAGTTTTGGAAAGCAAAGCTAGACTAATCAAAGCTCTACAGATTTGTTAAAAATAAAATAAAATTCTACATTGATTGTACACAAAGAAGAAGGGCATCATTTTAATTTATTCCTCGGGCCAAAGTTAGGGCCGACTATATATATGCAGTCCCCTTTTATTGAATGATCCCTCAAATATATTTGAGGACACCCTTAAAGGTTCCCTACCAAAAAATAATAATAATAATAATAAATAAAAAAATTGCAATGATCCAAAACCTCTATTTTTCACATCTTCATTCATAGATTATCCTTGTAAAAATTCATGCAAATTCTTAATGCATCTAATTGAGACCAACAAAATCAATGAACATGATGCTCCAAAAAGTACTTAAATTACAATATTTATTGAGTAGTAAAATTATATCGGATTCAAGTGTTTTTATTTTTATTTTTTAGAGGTGATTTTTAAATGAATATATACAAAATATACAATTTGTATTAGTGAAATACAATGCAGAGTGCCTTACAAGGGTGTCCCTAAAAAATGTAAATTCCCAGGAAAGTGAGTTGTTGGGCCTTGGCAAGATTGCCAGGAAAAAGATAGTCCCAATCATTAATGTTCATATGCTCAATCAGCTTTTCTAAACCACGAACAACAATAAGCAGCAAAACCAGATTACCTTTACAAACAGGTTACCTTTTTCTATCCTTTGCCTTGCTCGGATCTGATAAATTCAATAAAATAAAATAAATAAAAATAATACTACTTTGGTCTTGCTGACCTCAATTATTTACTCAATCAAAACAATATAAATTTAAGAGTGAATTTTCAAAAAAAAGAAAAGCGACATACGGAAATCATGTAATAAACAAGAACAGTAGAGATGAAAGGTTTGTGCGAGAACATACTTGTATCTTCTATTCCAAACATTGCCATCTTCTCAAACAATTCCCAGCTTTCATCATCATTCAATAACAATGGTTGGTAGCAAAATCCATTTTTGTCCGCATAGGAAGCAAAATCCATTTTTTTCCCGTTTCATATGAATTAAGTGTTACATTTTACATTGATAGCCTCTGAGATACCGAATCGAAGATAAGTTAACTCGTTAACAGCGGAGTTTTCACAAAATTTTGCAAGCCTTACAGTCCCTGTAACTTCGAAGGTTGCCATCCATCTGTGCTTCAAGAACAAAGTCGAAGAAGAGTTAGTTCTAAGGGAAAACAAATAAAAAAGAACGAAACATAGGAAAATAATTATCGTACCCTTCTACCAGATCTGAAACAACATAACAGAAGGCACATGTTGGATTTTGTAGAAATCCTGTCCTCCTTCCTGAAGCTTATCACAGAACGTAGAAGGCATCCGTTTAACATGCAATTCCTTGAGGGTAGTAATATACTGAAGGCCATCTGGAACCGACGTCAAATCTATGCAATGTTCAATGTGCAACCTGCTGAGACTAGGCATGGCTCCCTTCTCCATCCTCCACTCCTTTAGTTTACACAACTGACGGAGGGAAAGAAATTTGAGATGAGGAAAGCCTCCTGCTGAGCAAACAAGTGTTCCTGGAAAGGCCCTGATATGCACAGAAGTATAACCTTCGAGGAAAAGCATTCTTAACTTTGGAAGGTTTTCTAGTATTTCTATCTCGTCATCCTTGAGAAGAGTTTCAGAAAGCGATATCTTGGTGAGGTTTGGATAGTTCTTGAGCTCCTCTGGCAACTCTTTTATTGGCCCCTTTAATTGCAGCTTGAATATATTATGACAGCTTAATGGCATCCTCACTAAAACTTCTTCATTATCAGATTGCACAGATAAAGACCTGAGATGGTTAAATGTAATGCTTGTTGACTTCAACATCTCCTCAAGATTTTTCAAGCTCTGTACTTCTACGACCAGTTTTCTGAGGTTGCGTAATTCAGCAAGATCAATCAAATCACAATCCTTACTTGAAACATTGACTAATGTTTGCAAATGGGGATGAGTAGCCAATCCCAGTTTACCACTTACTCTGTTATAAGAAGCAGGTAAATATAAATGTTTCAATTGTTCCATGTCCCTAATCACATTTGGGATTCTCCTCACCAAGATACGACAACGTAAATCCAGAGTTTGCAAACATACCAAATTTGCTATTGATGACCGCAATTTCTTTATTCTACTATTCTTTAGACTCAAAAACCTTAAGTGGACTAGATTCCCAATCGTACTTGGTAACTCTACTCCTCCTAGCATATCTTCAAACTTCAGTACTCTAAGCAATTTAAAGTCCTCAAATATTGACCGCATTACTCTTTTATTCCAGAAAAATTGTGTTGGGACAAAGTATAAAAGAGATCTCAGGTGACCATCTCTTTCATCTGTTGTGGGAACTAATTTGTCAACTTCTTTGTCCAAATAGATGGCAAGCTTTCGAACCTTAGTGGTTGGGGCTGCCTTGGTTCCTGTGATTGCAGAAACATTGACAGTATGAAGAAAGCTCTGTTCTTTGGCCTTTAATACACACAAGTCTCGCATAAGATCATGGAGACGACAAGTTTTAACATTCTTAGTTGAACCGTATTTTCCAACTTGAACCATGCACCTATTCACCAACTCAATTAAGCAGCTATATGATACTTCTTCCATAATTTCTGTGGATGCTGATGATAGGCCTTCTGCCACCCACAATTTAGTCAATCTTTTCACTGGTATCTCATAATCTTCAGGAAATAGGCCTAAATATAGAAAACAAAGTTTCAAACGATATGGTAAGTCATCATAACTCAATGCCAACACCCATGATGTACCTTCATATTCTTGACCTTTATATTCTCGTTCAAGAATTGTACCTCTCCTTATATATACATCAACATTCTCAAGCACTGTATTCCATTCCTCAACAGTGTCTTTTCTAGCCAAAAGTCCTGCAAGCACACTGATTGCTAATGGCAACCCTGCACAACGTTGAAGCATCTTCTTTCCTAGTTCTTCCTTCTTTGCATATGATTCAGAGTCTACAAGTAAAAAAGAAGCAATAAAATAGCTAAGTTTATTAGATCAGCAATTATATATGCAGCACTGTAAAACCAGAACATGACATTCTAAGTAATCAACATCCCCGTGCTATTACGATTGTGGCACTATAACTTTCTCTTTTGAAACAGTTTGAAGTCCGTAGAATGATATTTGAAATGGAGAAAATATGATATAGAAAATAAAATGTATGCAGTGTAAACTGAGCATTAATGATCTCTAATAGGTTTAATTGATAGGTAAATCTAAAGATAAGAGAATGGGATTAAGAAAGTACTTGTATAATCCCTTCCAAAAAGTGCTATCTTCCCAAATAATTCCCAGCTTTCATCATCATTTAATGCATGAGGTTGGTAGAGGAAACCATTTTTGTCTACATGTGAGGCTACTTCCTTGTTGCGTGTGGTGAGTAATATTCGGCTCTTTGTTTCCTGGTTAATTGGAAATCCAGCTTTTAAAGTGTTCCAAGCATCACAGGTCCAAATGTCATCAAGCACAACCAAGCATTTCCTTTCTCTTTGGATGATACAAAGCTTCTCTGCTACTCTATCCTTCTTCATTTTTTCAATTTCTTCACTTTGCTCATTGGTAGCAGAAGTAAGTTTAATTAAGATTTCTTTCAGAACATCAATTCCTTGACATTGTTGAGATATGCACACCCAAGCAAAACAATCAAAACTTCGTCGAACTTTACTATGATGAAAAACCTGTTTTGCAATTGTGGTTTTCCCGGAACCGCCCATGCCCCATAGAGAAACAACTCGACTGCATTTTTCTTCTTCTACTAAATGCGTAGCCAATATATTTACACCGTCTTCTAACCCAACAACTTCACGTTCAATAACATGGGGATAAGTTAGCCTCATCTCTTGTTGCCTCTCAAAAGAAGAGCCGCCACCTCCACCACTCCCCCTTGTTTCTCTTATATTATAACTTTGCAAACTCGATCTCAATGTGGAAAGTTTGGTTGTAATCTTCTCAATTTCCCCCCCTGTCTTGTAAAGATGATATCCTTCTCTAAAGATGCAAGCAAACCTTTTCAAAACAATCTTCAAATTTCCTTTCCTCCTGGAAACCACTTTCAAGACAAAGGTTTCAATCACATCCTCCAAATCATAAGCAGCATCTCTAATGGTTGCAACCCAAATGCGTACTACTTCATCCTCTCCTTGTCTGGCATCTGCGTCTTTCAGGTAGCCCAACATTAATTGTAGCTCAGTTTGCGCGACCTCAACTTGATCACTGACTCCACCCAAAAAATTCGCCTGCTGAATGATGTAGTCTACGAGGGGCTTGATCCCTTCTGCAACAATTGTAACAACAGCCTCAGCCATGATTTTTTCCAAAAAAAAACGATTAAACCAGCTCCTTTTCTTTTTCTTTCTTGTTTTGCCTTCTCTTCTCTTTCTTTGGATTGATGAAATTAAATCTGCTTTCTTCCACTTTATGTATGATGAAGTCCCTTCTACCCCTGGCAGATTCCCAAATTGACTTCTATAATTAAAGTCCCAATCTGATGACTCATATGAATCATCTACTCTTTTGTTTTATTGCACCTTGTAATTAACGACTCTCTTTGTTAATTAGTTTCTTAGTCTTTTTTTGTTAAGATATTAAAGTACAACCATATTCAGATGTCATCCATATTAAAGTACAAACAAGAGCTACTCAATTTTACGTTGACTGAGTAAACTACTCAAAACTGGCAGGGTACGCTTCTCTTTGGCTTTTAAAAACTGAATATAGTCCTAAAATAATGCAAAATTCATCTCCAGTCATGGGATAAACAAAATTTTGGCTAAATGCATTAAATTTTATTTTATTTAATATAGGTATATAATTGGAAAATTATACAAACTTTGTTTTCCATTTATACTTAAAACAAACATGAGAAAGTAAGTAAACTGATATCTCTTGGTTACTTTCCCAACATTACCAAATATGAGAAATGAGTCTTTCATTTCCCATCAATTAGAAAATTACTAAGAAATAATTTTCCCTCAAATTTGTTTCGTGAACAAAATAGAGTTATATCTAGTTTTTCTAAGTCACGAGTATGTCATTGATTGACATTGACATAAAGAACATAGAGGTAGATGCAATATTTTCCTTTGGGTTTTTTTTCTTGTCTGACTCTGTTTTTTCCACATGTATGTGTGATAAAAGAGAAAAAAGATTTGCACAAGTATCATTTTATTAAGCAAGAACTACATGATGTCACTAAGATCCACTAATTGTCCATAAGGAATTGATGATCAGTGATCACACAATAACTTAAATCCTGACATTTCAATTGCCTAGAAACTTACCAATGGAGAAGTCTCGGTGCCGTTCATATAGGAAGTGCGGTGAACCAAGTCTCCACCCTACCCTGTCCCACAATTATTCCGATCTTTCCACAAATCAATGCCAGCTTTGAAAAGTATTCTATTCTAGCTTTCAAAGTAGATCTTTATCACATGCAAGTTGTACAAAAATATTCTATGCCAGCTTTCTCACACACACCGGTATCATAGGTATGTGAACGCATGAATTTGTGGGAGAAAAAACTTATTTATAATGGGGATATTACTGTTTTGCTATTCTCTACCAGTAACATAATGACACGTAAAAAAGTTATCATGCGTGTCATTGTGTTATTTGTTGGAAATAGCAAAAAGTGTTATCCCCATTGCATGAGAGCTCCTATCAGGAGACAAAAAACTTACTCGTAATGAGGATATCATTGTTTTGCTATCCTCGATCACTAAAATAATGACACGCCGGATAACTTTAGGGTTTAGGGTTTCTGTACTATGGGAGCACACTAAAGACCTGAACCAATCCAAACACCCCATCAAAGTTAATTTTTAAAAAATTGGAAAGAGGTGGTTTTCAACCATAGGGTCGACAATATGAGGATAAGATATCCTCCGTTCCTGTTGCCTCTGAAAAGAAGTGTTACCCCCACTCTCCCTTGCTTGGTGTAGGTTAAAACTTGGCATAATCGAACTCAGCTGTGAAATTTCGGTTGTAATTTTCTCAATGTCTGAGCCAATCCGATGAAGATTAACTCCTTTTATGAAGATGCCAGTAAACCTTGTTAAAACATTTGGTTTCCTCTTGAAAGCCACTTTTAAGACATACGTTTCAATGACGTCCTCAAGATCATAAGCAGCATCTCTGACACTTGCCACCCAAATGCGTATTGCTTCATTGCGTCCTTGTCTTGCATCTGCATCTTTCAAGTAGCCTTGCATGATTTGTAGCTGGGTTTGTGCACTATGAACCTTACCACCCACGGATTTCACGGATTTCAATTCCTGAATGATAGGATTGCAGAGCCCTTCGAGCACTATTGAAACGACACCTTCGGCCATATTAGCAGCTTTTTTTTTCTTCTGTTTTTTTAGATTGATAAAATAATCTTACCAATGGAGAAGTCTCAGTTCCGTTCATATAGGAAGTCCCATAATTATTGTGATATTTCCCCAGTCAATGACAGGTTTGAAAGTAGCACAAGTCACACAAGTCACATTCAAATAGCAAAGACCTTATCTAATAGAATCACTCAAGAGCCACACAAGTCACATTCGTACATGCAAGTTGTACAAATTATTTAATAATTTTGGGAAAATGGATCTTTCCACATTGTTTAAATTGAAACTTTGTATTTTTTTAATAATTTTTTTATTAGAGTGCTTTAACTTTTGTTGATATTTTTTGGGTTTGTGCACTCTGAACCTTACCACCCACGGATTTCACGGATTTCAATTCCTGATAGGGTTGCTGAGCCCGCCCTTCGAGCACTATTGAAACAATACATTCGGCCATATTAGCCGCTTTTCTTTTTTCTTCTGTTTTTTTAGATTGATAAAATAATCTTACCAATGGAGAAGTCTCAGTTCCGTTCATATAGGAAGTAGCAGAGGCAGAAGTCAACCAAGTCTCCGCCCTACCCTGTCCCATAATTATTGTGATATTTCCCCAATCAGTGCTAGCTTTGAAAAGTATCCAATGCCAGCTTTGAAAAGTACCTGAGGACCAAATTTTGAGGGACTTTGAGCGGCAAAAACATATCACCCGTTGGATTAATCCAACGGCTTGTAGTCTTAGTAACTGAAAGTGAGACCCATATAGACTTTCCAACCCGGTTCTGTAACCCGCAATATCCAACTCCTGTCTCTCTAATATATTTTCCTATCATCTATTGCATTTCATATTGACTCCAAAAAGAGACTATGCAGTTTGGTCGAAACTCTGTATTTTTTTATAATTCTTTTTTATCAGAGTGCTTTAACTTGTTGATATTTTTTCGGTTGTTCAGAAATAAAAGGAGAAAATGTTATAAAACTCCATTGTAGGGGGGAGTGACCATACTACCAAGGGCCCCACTTCCTACCTATTCATTTCCATACTACCAAGGGCCCCACTTCCTACCCAACTCCCGTTCCCATTTCTCTCTCATTAGCTCTCCATTTTCTCATGTTTGGCTCTTTCCTTCTCCCTCAATATTTGCTTTTGATTTTGTTTTATATCTTCCTTTGCCCAACACTTCCCAGAGCCAGACACCACCCACTAAATTTCTTCTTTGTGTCTCATCCTTTTCTATTCATTTGGAGAGATAATAGTTGACATGGTTTTCAATCTTGGTTTTTGTTTTTTTATTTTTATTTTAATAAGTAGCTCAATAAATGGATGAAAAAATAAATAAGTCTAGTCAATAAATTGTTTGGTGACTATCAATATTGCTTTAATTGGGTTTGGTTCATGGGAAATGAGGCTTGAAGATGAGAAATTAGTTGCTTTATCATGTTTGGTAAGTCCAGGCATGAGAAATGGTTGCCTAGGATATGGAAAAATAAGGGGAAAATATAACCCTCCTCTCTCCTTGGGTTTTATTTTTCATTTCCATGAGAAACTTTGGCAAAATGAGCCAACATCAATAGCACATTTTTCATGACCATTTTGTCCTCATCAATAATTTAGAATTACAATATATCATTAAATGCGTTATATTTTATTTTATTTAATATAGGTATATAATTGAAAAATTATACAAACTTTTTTTTCCATTTATACTTAAAACAAACATGAGAAAGTAAATAAAGTGATATCTCTTGATTACTTTCCCAACATTACCAAATATGAGAAATGAGTCTTTCATTTCCCATCAATTAGGAAATTACTAAAAAATAATTTTCCCTCAAATTCATTCCGTGAACAAAACGGAGTCATGTCTTGTTTTTCTAAGTCACGAGTATGTCATTGATTGACATAAATAGAGGTAGATGCAATATTTTTCCTTTGGGTTTTTTTTCTTGTCCGACTCTGTTTTCTTCACATCTATGTGTGATAAAAAGAGAAAAAAGATTTGCACAAGTATCATTTTATTAAGCAGGAACTACATGATGTCACTTAGATACACTAATTGTCCATAAGGAATTGATGATCAGTGATTACACAAGAACTTAAATCCTGACATTTCAATTGCCTAGAAACTTACCAACTGAGAAGTCTCAGTGACGTTCATACAGGAAGTGCGGTGAACCAAGTCTCCATCCTACCCTGTCCTACAATTATTCTGATATTTCCACCAATCAATGCCAGCTTTGAAAAGTATTCTATGCCAACTTTCAAAGTAGATTTTTATCACATGCAAGTTGTACAAAAGTATTCTATGCCAACTTTCTCACATACACCGGTATTATAGGGATTTGAACACATGATTTTTTGGGAGAAAATAATTTATTTGTAATGGAGATATTACTGATTGATGCTATTCTCAATCAGTAACATAATGACACGTAAAAAAGTTATCATGTGTGTCATTGTGTTATTAGTTGGAGATAACAAAAGGTGTTATCCCCATTGCATAAGAGTTCCTCTCGGGAGGCAAAAAACTTACTCGTAATAGGGATATCATTGTTTTGTTATCTACAATCACTAACATAATGACACCCCATATAACTTTAGGGTTTAAGGCTTCTCTACTATGGGAGCACAGTAAAGATCTAAAACAATCCAAACACCCCATCAAAGTTAATTTTAAAAAAATTGGAAAGAGTGGTTTCCAACCGTAGGATTTTCCATTTTTATTTTTCCATTTTTAAAGGAAACATTATTTTCCGTTTATATATAGGAAGTGTGAACCAAAAGCCTTCTGCAACAATTGTAAGTTGTAACAACAGCCTCAGCCATGATTTCTCCAAAAGAAAACCAATAAACCAGCTCTTTTTCTTTTTCTTTTTCTTTCTTGTTTTGCCTTCTCTTCTCTTTCTTTGGATTGATAAAATTAAATCTGCTTTCTTCCGCTTTATGTATGATGAAGTCCCTTCAACCCTTGGCAGATTCCCAGATTAACTTATATAATTAAAGTCCCAATCTAATGACTCATATGAATCATCTACTCTTGTTTTATTGCACCTTGTGATTTCTGAACCTTGCCAACTCTTTCTGTAATTAGTTTATTAGTCTTTTTTCTTTGGGGTTAAATATTAAGGTATCATCCATATTAAAGTACAAACACGAACTACTCAATTTTACGTTGACTGAATATACTATTGAGGGCCAATAATTACGGTTTGAAAATACCGGTCTCATTAGTTCGGCTGGATTGATGCCCACCCATATCACTCCCTATCTCATCCCAACTCCAATTTATTGAGCCATTGTGTAATTGAAATGAACATACTTAATTTACTAAACAAACAATTCTAATACATGTAATAAATCCAATAGCATATAACAGCTAGCGTTACTTCTCCAGAACTATGCCTTTTTCCCGTTTTAAGGAGGTGTTTACCTGTTTTCCTGAGGAGTATCAATTTCAAATTAAAGATGCATATGATAACTAAAAAATGAGAGAGTTAGAAGAATAATTGTTGCAAAGAAGAGAGAAAAACAAGAAAATAGGAAGAAGAAACTGCGGAGCAAAAGAAGAAAATAAAAATAAGAGAGAAAAGAGATGAGGAGGAAAGAAAGAGAAGAGAGAGAGAAGAGTGAACTCGAGCGGAAGAATAAAAAATAGGAAAAAATAAGGGGAAAAGAGAGCAGAAAAAAATAGAGAGTTGAGGAAAAGTAAGCTGAGGGCGTTTTTTAAGAAAAATGTAGGCCTTATTTGCCATAAAGTAATATTAGCCTCTCCGTACGTGCAAGCTTTTTTTTGAAAAAATTTAAATTTATTTTAGAATTAAAAAAGATAATGGATAATTGTGTTTCATAAAAATAGGATCCAGTATCTGATTTTTCTTTTAATTTTAATTTTTTATATATGTGTTTGGGCCTAATTTGGCACACCCATTCCAAAAAATCAAAAGCCCATATCAATTTTTGACAGCCACCAGAGTTCCCCTTATAATTGGGCCAAAAAATTACACACCAAGCCCAGCGCTGAAAGCCCAGAATGGCAAAAACAAAAAATAGGACCCAAGCAGTCTGGACTTTGCGATTAAATAGGAATCAAGGGCCCAAAATCCAAGAAAGCCCAGCCTAAGATTTGTCAAAACATGACAATGATATTGGGCTTCGAAAAAGAAGGAAAATCAGCCCATAACTCCAAAAAACTCAACCTTGACTTGGCATGATTAAAAAGAAGAAATGCTCAAAATTGGAGGCAAACCCACATGACTACCTAAACTTTGAAAAGCCAGCAATATTGACTGAGTCGATAGGGAATTAATGGAAACAGGCCCTTTTCAGTCAAAAGAAGATCAAAATCCCTCTTCTATATTCAGAAAAATTCTACTCCAGAGCATGTACCATTTCCAAGGGATAAGCAGGCTATATTTTCTAAAGAGATAAGTAGGAAGTAGGGAGTTGTTCATCCGGAAAATCAAACTAACCATCACAGTCTGAGCACTTAGGCCCCGTTTGAGATTGCTTTTTTTCGCCAAAAACTTGCTTCACTTTAAAGTTAAGCAGTTTTAGGTGTTTGATAAAAATAAAATATCTCAATTATTTTAAAAGCAGTGGCCTTTTGACAGCAGCTTTTAAAAGCAGGCTATAGGTTGCTTTTCAAAGCTGCTTTCAAAAGAAGCAGAGATGAACCTTTAATGAATTTTTTTAATTCCCAAAATACCATCATTTATTTTAAAAAATAACACCACCTCCACTTCCACATCCAACTCCACCACTTACACCACCACATTCACTACCTCCACAACCACCACCATCGCCACCGCCACCACCACCACCACCACCAACTCCACCACCACCAACTCCACCTTCACCACCTCCACCACAACCACCACCACCACCACCATCACCACTACCACCACAACCACCACCACCAACTCCACCTTCACCTCCACCACCACCAACTCCACCTTCACCTCCACCACCACCACCTCCTTCAAAACCTCCACATCCACCACTACCTCCACAACCAACACCACCACCATGCTGTCACCACCACCACCTCCACAAGCGCCATCCCTACCACCACCACCTCCACTCCATCACTACCACTACTACTACATGATTACTACATAACACTTTTAACATCATGTCTATTTTAGTCATTATTCACAGTTACAACAATTTTATATTAAAACTTACCAAATGGTTTTGACACTGCTTTTTGTACTAACAGCACTTTAAAAATATTGTTTACCAAACACGGAGCTGCTTTACTTTACAGCTAATTATTTTCAAAGCACAGCAGAAACAACTTTTTTTAAAAGTGACAGCAATCCCAAACTGGGCCTTATAAAGAGCAGTTAAAATTGAATAGGGGTTAGGTTTCCTTTCAAGAAAAATAGGAAAGTGATTGCCTTAGAATTGACTATTGACAATTTATCTGCCAGAACAGATAACTTCCCTCTTTCTTTGCATTTAAATTAAAAGATCTTTTTAAATATTGCCGCACATTATTAAAAGAATTGAAAACTCCACTCCAAAACATTTCTTATAAATATAAGAGAGGGTGAACAGAGCAGAAGACAACCAAAAAAAATCAATCAAAGACAAAACTCAAAATAATCACTTGATCTCAAAAAACCTTCAAACAAACTGAAGTAACCAAAAAGCTCATTGAGCCACCAAGAAAGAAGCCAGCTATAAATCAAAACTTCCAGTTCCAATTCAAACTTAGAGAAATAAGTCATTCAAAAACGAGATTTCTTTCGTTACAAATTTGGTTCAGCAAAAGCCAAATCAAGCAAAGCTTGGGTTTTTACAAATATGAAAACCTCAACAAATTATGGAGAGCCATGATCAAGCAGAACAGGTACCACAGTGCAGTTCCAGCTCACTTATCCTCAAGTCCAACCACTTCTGCCCCTTTCAGACTAAAGAGGCCGCAATTTTGTCCATTCAAAAAGCCTTCCAGGGCTTGAAATAAATTAAAGCTCTGCCAAACTCGAACGTTGGTATCGATTTACAGCTGAAGTTTAGCAGTTGAGGTTGTTGACAGTCCAGTCCAACACAGGCATACCCAGTCCAGCCCGGATCAAAAGCTTCTATCCAGGCAGAAATGGAAGTCCAGCCTCCTTTTTGTCTTTCAGGAGTTGGTTTTTTCCCTTTTGAGTTTTGTAAAAGGTACTTCTGCCTAAAACAGTTCACTATCTTATCATTTATTCTAGCCAGAACTACCAATTTTGTACTGTGAAAAATTGTGAAGTCCTCACCAGTCTGAGGCAAGAAAAAAACTTACTTGGGAGATATTCCTCACCCAAATTCACAATCGCTTGTTTAGAAATCAATAACTTGGGGCGCAAGTTATCTATTTTAAAATTTGCTAGGATTTTTTATTGCTAGCAGTGGCACGCTCACACACTAAACAAAGTTGACTTGTTGACCAGCCAATGGTTTTTAGGGCAATGGGGAACTTTATCCTACCATCACAGGAGCAAACATCAAACGGGTGAACAATATGAAAAAGTGTGAATTTACCATATTATCCTCATTTAATTATTAATTTCAATTCTTAATTTATTCTGGTATTTTGAATGTTTTACTATTCTCTGTCTTTTGCTTTAACATATATATTATATGTTAAAAAATAGTGTGAGTGTAGGCCATGGCCATACTAGTCCTATGCTGGGGAGAAGTTGATGTCACAAGGAAGAAAACAAAAAGAAGTTGCTGTAGACAGACAATAGGAGAGAACTGCCTAGCTAATATTGTTTTTGGAGAAATTTGGGCTGGGCACGTGCAACTCAAGCATCTTCTAATGTGAGTATTGCTTTCACTATTGGGGAAGTGCCAATGCCAGTTGAGATAGTTGACATGCAGCCACCCCAAGTCTCACATATTGATTCAAACCATCATAGATTATGGGGATCCAACCAACATTACTCACATGGTGTTCAGCTGGTCGATTCTCAGTATGCACCTGCACAAGAAGAGATTGTTTTTGAAATCGTAAATGCTTCCGCGTCAATGATCTGAATAATTCAGAAATATTTTTGGAAGTGGCAAACTATGTGTAGTACATTTACTCCACTGAGAAAATCTGAACCCAAAATAACATACCGAGTTTTTACCGGAAACCTTATTGTTGCTCCACGTCAGCATCCATCTGCGGTCCTCACCATCCTAGCTTGGTCTTGCCGTTGTATACAACGTTGCCGGCAGATGCTTTTCCAACGCTTTGGACATGCAGAAAGGCACCCTACTGCCCATTTGCGATGAGTGCTAGGTAGGGGGAGTGTCCAATGTGCCCCACACCAATCCTTACTTATAGATTATGTTACGGTGTCCCCAGTTGCATTGTAAACAAGGCAAAGTGTGGAGATTCCATCACCATGGTGCTTCTTCAAATTCTCCACAAAAGTAAGGGCTTTGAGGTCCTACTCTCCGATGTTTTTCATCTGCAGAGCCACTTTTTCCCTGTCTTTTCTTTCTATTGCCTTGCACTCGAACTTCGGCATCCCTTTAAAAGTCGAGCTTTCGTTGGGGTTGCAGAATAGGTTGTACGCCATGATGCCATCTCTCTACTGATATTTTATAATTCAATTCTCTCTTTCTCTCTTGAACACTCTGAATCTAAGCTAGCTACAGATTGGATGAATATGTACAAGAAGAAATCCAAACAAATCGTGGGCGGGGAAATGATGTGCTTACCGTCTCTTGTATCCAACGGCCCACGTAATCATCAACCAAAGGTCTCTCATATATAATTTTATATGCATATTAATTGGTGTTAGAGTTTCAAGAGAAATCCCAAGTTGGGAAATAAAGATATTTACTATTCTTTATTACGTATTGATGCTTCACACATAAGCCTAGCAAGGCTCTCTAGCTGCCTTCCAAAGTTTTTGGTTGTTGTGGAAGTTGTTTTGTTTTAGTAATTATTTTCCAAGAGGTTAAATTTGAATGACTTATTTATGGATATGCCTCATGTGCTTTTAAAATAGTATCAGATTACCACATGTTTTTTGAAATGTCTCAATATACCACCTATATTTTTAATAAGTGTCTCACGTTAGCTATTTTGTCAAATTTGAGAGAAGTTCCGTTAGCTGATGTGGCACCCACTTCTTTTCAATCTCTTAATAAGGGAGAGGAAGGGTTAGTCAGGTTGAGAAAATGGGGAATTTTAGAGAAGAATGTTTGGTTGAGGGAATTTCATATTTGGGAATTTGGAGGTTCATATTTGGGAGAAAATGAGGAATTTGATTTGGGGATTTCAGATTTGGGAAAAGAAGGATGGTTTGAATGTTGTGGGGATCTCCCAAATCTGAAATTCCCAAATCAAATTCCCCATTTTCTCCCAAATCTGAAATTCCCTCAACCTAACATTCTTCTCCCAAATTCCCTCTTTTCTCAACCTGACTAATCCTTAATCTCCCTTGTTAAGAGATTGAAAAGAAGTAGGGGTCACATCAGCTAATGGAACTTCTCTCAAATCTGACGGAATAGCTAACGTGAGACACTTATTGAAAGTATAGGTGGTATATTGAGACATTTCAAAGAACATGTGGTAATCTAAGACTATTTCGAAAGCACCAGGGGCATATCCATAAATAAACCAATTTGAGTTTTTCTTAGAATTTTATTCGTGTGCACTTTCAATGGAGTGGATATGAATGATCATATTCAATGAAACCTTATGAATTTTATTCGTTGCGTTTCTCATTATTTTGACGAAATGCTAAAACTCAAGAATGTTAAGGATGCTCATGTAGTTATCTTGTCTTTAAATTTCTCCAACAAATTCTTTTATATGTCTGAGTCTTTCTTTAATTATGCATGTTGTTATATATATATAAATTATGGGATTGCATTCATAATTTAACCAAAAAAGTTACTAGCTAAAAAGGGCCATTACAATAAAGAGAGATTTAACATCAAAATTAAGACAAATGGTGCGCCTCCAATAATGATCACACATGATTGAAGATACTATGGCGTAGCCATCCCAAATAAGATTACAAACTCATAATAATAATAAAATATCCATAACTATAAGCTTACAAAGAGAAGTGGAAAACTCTCACAAAAGGTGAGGTGAAAACTATACAAAGAACCAAAAGAGTCTCTACGACTTATTCCAAACATAAAGAAACCACAAAAAGGATAATGGTGAAGATTTGATACTAAAACACAGGTGGAGATCCGACATCGAGATGCAATCGCATGTGATGGGTGAAGGAAAATTATAAGAAAACAAAGAAAAATAGAGGGAACCTTCTATCTCTAAAAATTGGAAGCACAAACCGACCCTATCACATCTGATTTTTTATATATTTAAATAGACCTTATTACATTCAAGCATATCATCTAAAGGCTCATGAATTGAGTCACCTACGCAAGTTGTAGACATAATTTTCTAATTTCTCAACCAATTTTCAATTATTTTAATTTATTTAAATTATTTTGACTCTGAGTATTCATTATATTTATTCAACGTGTATTATGGTTCTTAATTTTCTATATGGGAGATAAAATGTTTTGGAAACTAGATCTGTTCACATTTTGAAACTAGACCACTATTCAAAATGAGTCTTGGAATTTCAACATTGGGATGCTACATATTAAGATATTGTTTTGGAGGTATATATATATCTGACACCCTTGTACTAAATTTTACTTTGATCGGAGGAAAGTACATAGCCCTCTTTTGAAACCTTACTTTGATTTAGGGCTTCAATAACTTCTTTAGTGTAAATACATAAAGACCTGTTGAGGCCCAAAAAAGTCCATGATTAGGCCCAAATAAGTTTCCGGCCCAATATGATACTGTATTAAGAAAAGTCACATATCGGAGTACACGAAGGCTCGTCATATACAAGTCATGGTACACATGTCATGCTAAATAAATAATTTGTCATGCCAAAGACTGAGATAATATTATAAAATACAAGTCCATGCTAAAATAAGCACCGTGTTCCTCTTCAAGGACGATAAAATTGAAGCACGTCAAGCGACACGCCATGCCAAGCAAGGAATTATTATTCCGCACCCAATCACGCCACAAGCTTAAGTGGACCCCAAGCCACTCAAATACCCTGGGCTTGCTTGAGTGGATTGTGGTATGGATGGTAATAAATTGTCATGATGCCCATTGATAAGTCGAGAAATGGAAGTCCCGGGTTGCTTGAGAGCCTCGAGACTCAAGCCCATTTCATAGGCCCAAACATGTGGGTGAGCACAAGAGAGAAAAGAATAGTCCATCACTCCAAACAAAAATAGCCCAACCAAAATAGCCTATTGACTCAACCAAAAAGCCCAAACGTTTGATAAAGAAAGCCCACTTACTTAATGAATCACCTTTGCCCATACAATTACCATAATGAGCTACAAAAGCCCCAGCCCTTGGCTAGAAAAACAAAAGCCACGAAGGGGAAGTCTGAAGGTCCATTATACAAAGCTGCTGGGAGGTTCCAGCACATGAGAAAGGAGCAAGTTTCAAGCAAAAGACACCCAAGGGACCAAAGGATATTGGCGCGCAGCCTGCTAAGAGAGGAATCGCCTTTTTGAACCAACATGCATACCCATTCTCTTTCTCTCATCAGACCTGGCCATGGAATAAGGAATAAAAGAAAAGAAGGAGATGGCTGGAAATAGAGGCAGCTGCGAGAAAGAGCATTGAGCTCCCAAAAATCCCTGATTTTGTGAGATTGGACAGAGAAGGAAGGAAAAAGCTTGGCCAAATTAGATGGTTTCTTGGAAAAAGATGGCTTCCAGCGGCTATAAAAGGGGCCTCTTCTACCCAACCAAAGAGAACCCACATTTCAGAGAGCAAGCTTCCTTTCTCACCCTGCAACACCCAGCAAATTTGTGCTCTGTTCATCCTCATCCCCATTTTTCCCCCTTCTGGCAGGCCGTTCTAGCATTTGACAGAGTCACTGTCAAGCTGTCGGAAATAATACTCAAGCAACCCATTCCTCTCTTTTTCCTTATTCTCAGCCAAACCTCTCTGCAAACTCTTCATCTCGTTCCTTAATACCCATTTTCCTCCCAGGAACACTTAGTTTTCTCTAAAGTGCTAAACTCATGACAATTTTGCTCCCATACCACAAGCTTCTCATGTCAAGCTAGAAAATTTATCTGTATGCTGTTGTTATTTTCATTGGTGAAGGTAACCAAGGTGTTTCATAAAGCTTCTCTGTCCTTTCGAAGCATTTTTGGGGCTTGATCTTTGAACTCAGGCACAGTGGATAATTTCATCCATCTACCCTTTACGGCAGCCCAACCCGTTTGTAGCTACCGGAAGAGAAAAGCCCCTACATAAATTGGCGACTTCACTGGCGATCAGGGCATTATCTTCACCAATGCCTCAATAGAAGAAGAACAGAGCCAAGCTTGTCGTAGAAATCCAAACACCATCGCTGGAAGAGCCGCTGCCAGAAGCAATAAACCAGAGAAAATAAAGAGATAAGAACATTCCCTCTTTCTTTTTCTTTTTTCCTTTTGTTGGCTATCTACTTTGTAGAACAAGCATACCATGGTTACTGACATGTGCCTTTTGCTTGTGTCTTAGATCTTCATTCTCAAGAAAAACCAAATCTTGTACGAGGGCTGGGGGTTTAGGCAAATCCATCATTCATGCCATCGAGCGAACTACACATGCAAACTCTAAAATACTTGGGGGCTCCATGCCAAGCAAATATATATAATAATAAAAAGAGCCAAAATGCATATCCAAATGACTTGGGGGCTTCCTGCCAATTGAAAAAAAAAAGTCAAGCACAAGCACTTCAAAGTTTCTCATGGTAAACCAAGCTATACCTCAGTTCCAAGAGATGTGCGATTCAACATTATTCACATCTTCAACCAAGTCCAAGCTATATACATTCATTCATCATTGTTTCCACCACTTGCATTATTATTTTTTTTCAAACCTTCTTAGCCCCTGCCGATTTCAATCCATCCTTACGACAATTAAACAACCTCATTGTACCTCTAAAAGAACACTCGAAGTGACCTCAACGACTAGCTTGTTCTTCTCATGCTTTGAAACCTCTAAATCAAGTCTGAAAAAGAGATATAGACGCTGGAGAGGATAAAAAAAAAAAAAAAAAAAAAAAAAAAAAAAAAAAAAGTGTGTCAGAAGCATATTTTCCTACATT